GGTTGCATGAAATTTTTGCTGCTGATACCAGAGTGTCCTGGAGGAACCGGCATTTCTCTTCCGTATCCATTGGACTCCAATCTGCCAAGAGCATCAAGGATTCAAAGGCCTCTCTATATGCCTCTCCTGTTGCTTGGCTGGGGCCAACGATTGGACCCTCTTCCTGTGGCTCCTTAGTGAATGGCCCTGAATTTACTTTTAATTTATAGAAAATTGCTGAGTGGTCGCTGCCCCCCAGTATTTCTCCGAAAGTATCTATTGACATTTCCGTAACCAGTGGGACATCCTTGTCATCCTCAAGGACCAGGTCCAATGCAGACACAGAGTTGTTAGTTATTCGTGTAAATAAACCTTTACAACGATTAGCATCGCTATTAACAATGCGAAGGTCGTTATTTGAAATAAAATCCCGTATCAGTCTCCCATTGGAGTTAATGTCCCTGTTGTTCCCTGGAATACCTTGGCTGTCTGCCTCGATATGCCCATTGAAATCCCCCGCAAGAGAACATGTATACCCGTCTTCCCTGAGGGTAGTGATTTCAGCTTGTAACATCGCACACAGCTCTGCATTCCAAACTTGGAAATTATCCCCTCCAACCTCAGCTGCAAGATACACAAAACATAGCGCTACATTGCTGTTGTTTTCATGGATTAGTATCCACTCTCTTTCATTATCCAGGTAGGGGTACATTGGTAGAGGTGGTTCGTACCGTGAATGGTTAAGGCCGGGCTGAACTATGGTCAATATCCCGCCACCTTTCTTTTCTTTCCAAAGCCTCTCCTTGGAGTACCATATGAACTTGTCTAGACATGAAAGGTCATCATTGGACCCATGTCTCAAGTGAGTTTCACTCACGGCAAGAACATGTAAGTTATTGTCATTCATGACATCCACTAACATGTCTTGTTTGTTGTCCCGTATTAGGCCATTGCAATTCCAATATGCACAGTTGATGGAGCAAGGCACCACCCTTGCCACGTTTTGCCTATGGGCCCTGCCCTTAGCACGGTGCCTCTTACTGGGCTTACCCATCAGAGGGTTTTAAGAAGGACTTATATCTTAAGTTCATCTATATACAAATGCCTTTATAAAAAATGTATCATATATAAAAGCGGAGCATCAGAATGCTTTTGTATGTTTGTTTATATTTCCTATAGCTGGTCGTTTTCTAAGGTTTGACGAATTTTTCAACATTTTCGCATTTTCAGCATAATACCTAGTTTATGGTTTATTTTATGAAATGAACATTTTCTTAACTAAAATTAAACATTTTATGATGATATTTTGTTAAAATAATATTTTTCACGATAAAGTCGTCAAGTAATATATTTAAGATTGATATTTAGTAAAATGATTTTAGGCAGCAAGCTATGGAGATGCATAAACGTAAAGCTATTGAATCCGCCCAGAGTGCTGCGGATCTTAAACTTCATCTGGAAAAATATCATTCACAAATCAAGGTAAAATATATTTGCATCAAAAAATAGTTTGTAGTGGTTTAAACTGCATATTTTCCTGTAAAATCCCCCCCCCCCCCCTCCCCCTCTATTGAAAATCATCTTTTTTCCAGAAGATAAGTATATTTTTAAGGGTTTTATTCGCTTAACTGGGGAAAATAAAGAATTTTAAGGGAAAATAAATAAATTTTTAGGTAAATTATGGAAATTATGAATAGTGAGCATTAATTTACAATTGTTATTTAAATTTTTTTATAATATTTTGTAGTTATTTTAGATTTTTTTATTACAACTAAAATAGAAGTTTAATAATATTACAGGAGGTTCAGCAAACTGTAGCAGAGAAAACATCTGCCCTTGAGGCGGAGGCATTTAAAACTAAACGTATGCAGGAGGAGACTGCAATTCTTAAACGAAAGGTAACACATCCACCCTTAAGGCGGAAGCATTTAAAACTAAACGCATGCAGGAGGAGACTGTAATTCTTTAACATTTAAAGACAAAAAAGCTTTTATTTAAAAAATAATGTACTTGCAGTTGTATTCTTGATTCTTACTCATAGAAAAATGTACTCAAATCCTTTCTCCCTCTTCTTAGTGCATTTTATTATTTCTAAAGGTTGAAAGATTGAAGAAAATAGAAATGGCAAGTGATATGGACGAAATCTTGAAGGAAGAAATCCGCGAATACAAAGAAACCCTCACTTGTCCTTCTTGTAAGGTAAAGAGAAAATACAAAGAAAAGTCGTCTTCTTTTGTTGTAAATCTTCGAAAATGTACAGAAGGATGCTGAGTTTTTTAAATTTAATTTTACTGCAAATTCAAATCTTAAACGAATTTATCTGTTTGTCTATAAATTGTTCTCATTATTATTATTAATACAACTTTTTATTCCACAAATGTTTTATTTTCAGGTTAAAAGAAAAGATGCTATTTTAACCAAATGTTTCCACGTGTTCTGCTATGATTGTTTGAGAACCAGGTAACTTCAATCTGTTCTAATCCTTATATTTTTGCCATCTTTATTTGGTTTAATTGTGTTAAGGTTAATATATTACGGGTGTGATAATTTAAAACATCTCTTTTCTAGCTTCATTGGCTTTTCAGGAATTTAGCCAATTTCAAGCTTGTTTTTGAAAATGTTTGTAAAATCTAATTAAAGGTTAAAACAGGGCGATTACACAATATTTTCATAAAAAAATATTAAGGTATGAGACTCGACAAAGAAAATGTCCTAAATGTAATGCTGCTTTTGGTGCATCAGACTACCATAGGTAAAGTTTATCAATTTTAACTTTATTTTCAGACTCCCATTTTTATTTTTATTTGTTACTTATTCTTTAGTTTGCATCTAATGGTATAAAGTTGTAATCTCTGTTTGTTTGTATGTCGAGTATAATTGATGAACCCACGAGATAAATGATTTTGTTTGAACAATAAATGAATTTTTGGGTTACATCAATCATTCACTATTATAAAAAAGCAAACCGTGTTTTGACCACCACACTGTTATGGTATATGAAATAATGTTCTAACAAAGTTTATATCATGTTTTTATTTTCAATCATTAAACATAATTACATAGATCCATTAGAATTCATTTCATGGGCTCATACTAGTAATGTTACTTTGAGATCGGAGTTTAAATTTGATATTAATTCAATTGTATTATTTTGCATTAATATACATATTTATTTTAGGTTGTATCTCTCCTAGATGTATTTTATCCTGCTTATTGAAGCGTTTCATCCCCAACATACCAGAAAAGATTAAGAAACTTTTTCTTCAAATTCTAGACATTTAAAAAATTTTTTCCAAATAAAAATAACTTCTCTGTTTTTTATTATTAATGTTTTGTGTCATCGTTACATTGTAAATGTTTGCATTTTCAGACAGTTTTATTTTAAATTGGTTGCGCATAATTCTTTACCCATTTTTACGTTCTATTTAAGAAAGTTATGTCGTTATTGGACACAAAAATGCTTATCCTAAAAGATGTTTGAACTACGCATGTTATTAAACTATGTTACGCATTTTTGCGTCAAAATTGAAGTTCCGCGTATTCCTGACAATATTAATCTGAGTTACGCATATTTCAGAAAGTATGGCGGGTACAGGTTCATATCGATATTTCGATGACGAAGATGAAGATGATCTTGAAGGTAAAGAAAAAAAATTAAAGAAAAGTTTATTTGGAATTAGAATTGATTTTCGGGGAAAAGCTTTATGAAAAAAAGATATTTGAAAAATAAAGATTTTTATTTCTTAAAATCAGAAATGAGATCTTAATTTTTTTTTATATTTTCCTTACTATCTTGTCATATTTGGAAATTTATAAAATTATTTCTTCAGAGTTTTATTTCTCTGAGTTCTACATGTCACCTTCTCTTGATGGGCTAGAGAAGAATCTTTTACTTGTATCTGAAGGAATTGTACCCTCGTTGTACTCTGTACTCTGTACTGGTTCACAGGTACCTTTTCTTTGTCTTTTGTACTCTGTACTCTGTACTCAGTACTGGTTCACAAGTACCATTTACTTGTACTCTTTGCTCTTAAAATCATTTTGAAATAAGAAAAATTTAATGAATATAATGTTTTTAACTGAACAAAATCTGTGAAGTCTCATCCTTTGTAATTAACCGTAACTTTTAATCTGACAATTGATTATTTTCAGTTTTTAGAAATTAAGCATTTATCATAATTTTCCGTATTTAGTCAGTTGGTGGAATGTTCGCTAAAGAAGGGAATAGGGTTGTTCAGATCGGGAAAATCTACAGGTGTTATATATTATATCACGGTTATTTTTAACGGAGTCTCAGCTACGGAGTAATGGTGAATTTTTTTTTTTTTTTTTTTTTCTATGTTTGTTGTTTACCTTTATACAACTGATTTCAAAATAAGGTGGGGGGGGGTTTTTTGATGATTGGGAAAAATGCAAAATCGCACATCAAAAGGCAATTCAGCTAATAAAAATCTTAAATTAAAAAAAACTTCTGAAATATGTTTTTTTTCAAGAGGGGGGAAAGGATTTTTCACGAAAACATAACCCTATCCCGGGGGGGGGGTTTCCTGAACTTAAAAACGATCAAATTTCCCCCCCCACATCCCCCCTTGAGATCTACAGGGTGTCCCATATCATATTAGATCGTTACAAGCTCTTAATTGCGATTTTCGCAACAATCAGAAAATTATAAAAGAACGAATCATTTTTTGAAATTCTTTAAGTCTAATTTTAAAATTTGTATGCAGAAAGTACTAAGTGTTCAGAGTATTGTGTGCGTATTTTGGCGTAAAAGCTTGGAGACAATCCATTATGATATGGGACGCTCTGTATATTAGACAAGTATGGCCTTACTGGGTTCAGGAATGATATAACGTTCAGATATTCAAGGGTCTTGATTGTTGAACTTACTGTTCAGGGGTTTAGAATGTTGTATTGTTCAGGGGGGTTCATAATATGTTTTATTGTTAAGAGGTTTAGAATGTTTTATTGTTCTTGGGTTCAGAATGTTTTATTGTTCTTGGGTTCAGAATGTTTTATTGTTCAGGAGTTTAGAATGTTTTTTTTTGTTCAGGGGTTCAGAATGTTTTATTGTTCAGGGGTTCAGAATGTTTTACTGTTCAGGGGTTTAGAATGTTGTATTGTTCAAGGGTTCAGAGTGTTTTATTGTTCAGGGGTTCAGAAGTTGTATTGTTCAGGGGTTTAGAATGTTGTATTGTTCAGGGGTCCCGGCTGGACTGCTGTCACCTGTGAAACAGAATTAAAGAAAGGAGAATATCTCAACCTGGCAAAATTAATTCTTACTGTCGCAGATCCATCTGTCAATATCGTCTGCCTAGCAGCCAGACATATCAGGTAGGCAGACCTTCATTAACTTATTAATAATATGAAACGTTAAACAAGTTTAGTTTCTCTGCTTAGCAGCCAGGCATATCAGGTAGGCAGACTTTCATTAACTTATTAATAATATAAAACTTGAAACAAGTGTAGTTTCTCTGCCTAGCTGCCAAGCATATCAGGTAGGCAGACCTTCATTAACTTATTAATAATATGAAACGTTAAACAAGTTTAGTTTCTCTGCTTAGCAGCCAGGCATATCAGGTAGGCACTTTCATTAACTTATTAATAATATAAAACTTGAAACAAGTTTAGTTCCTCTGCCTAGCTGCCAGGCATATCAGGTAGGCAGACTTTCATTAACTTATTAATAATATAAAACTTGGAAACAAGTGTAGTTTCTCTGCCTAGCTGCCAGGCATATCAGGTAGGCAGACCTTCATTAACTTATTAATAATATGAAACTTGAAACAAGTTTAGTTCCTCTACTGTTTGAAAAAAATATCAAAATTATTAAAATCTAGAAATATGACTACTTTCCACATTATTGATGAGAAAACGGGTTCAAGGGTATCATTTTGAACTAAACAATGCCAGCTTTGCATGGAGGTACACATGAATTCCGCTTACTCCCCCCTCCCCCTTAGGGGGAATACACGGTTTAAAATGGGGGGGGGGGGATTGGACACCAAAAAGCAGGTTGTTTTTTCCAAATTCCTACAATTCCCCCAAAAATGTATTTTTTTCTAAAAATCGAATAAACATACCTAACCTCTGGGGAAAATTTTTTTTCAAAAAAGAAGGAATGATTTTTCAAGAAATTTTCCACTCGTGTTTAATTTGGTGCGTAAAAAAATTTTATTTTAAATAACATGGTTTTGTTAATTATTATTTTCAAAGAAAAAAATAATTATTAATTAGTGTTTATCAAGTTAATTAAAAACGAAGTGAGGGAAAAAACATAATAATAATATTGCGAGGATAAAATGTAAAAATGAAAATTAAAACAAGAAGAAATAATCTCGATGTACTCTTTAAAGACGGCAGCTTATTTCATCTGGTTTAAGAATTTCCATTTTTACATTTTTGTCCTTAAACTATCATCATATGTTCTGTTTTAAATGTCCATTTTCCAGTATTCGTCTTTAAAAGCATTTTGCTGATATTTTATTATTAAGATTTTTTTGTCAAAGTGCACCCAAAGATCCTTCTTAAAACGCAGTTTAGTGTTGTGATTGGGTCATTCCATAAAGACATTTGACAACAAAAACAGATTTTTCTTAAACTTAAAATTCTAGTTATTAAAGTTATGAACACTGAACAGCTACCAAAATTTTTGTTTTTGAATTTTTTTTGGAGTGGTTTTGACCATTTTAAAAATGTTGGGCGATTTAAAGTAAAAGTCTTGTTTTGTGTTTCTGAAGATGCCCTGAAACTAATTTTAGAACTAAGTTAAAAACTTTCTCATATTTTTAATCTCATCAAATTTTCAATAAAGAACCTGTTAAATCAATTCCTGGGATGCTCAGAAAGATTCAAATTTCCCTGTATGATAATTGAATGACTGCAGTATGATTTTGGTGAAAATTCCACGGGCAACGCCGGGAACTTTTGCTAGTAACATAGAACATAACGATCACTCCCTTTTATGTTTTTAAATTCTAGTGAGTATAGAGGGGATGATAATGAGGAAGAAAATATCGTGAGAGCACTTCATACAGATTCATTTACCTCCTGCCATATACCCAGGTATTTATAAATTTGGCTCCCCTGTTTGTTCGTTGGTTTGTATCAATTAATAATAAGGACCTTACAGGATCCCAGGGAAGGTTTATGGACGGTAAGAATTCAAAAGTTTTTTGAATTTTTAAATTCTCCAAAAAAAACATGCAAATCCACACAAAAAATTCATGAGTTTTACTTTAAAATTTACGAAAACGAAAAACTGACAGACAAATTTTTATTTTTTTAAAAAATTGTCATTTTTCTTTAAAATCAAATTTAGGGTAAAAAGAAATGATCTGAAAATAAACAGTAAATATTTCCAGGTTGGATGTTCCAAACCTTATTACTGGATTATCCGCAGCAATTCTCTCCATAGCTGCTGTTAAAGGTATTTAAAGGGATTGTTAACAAAAATATTAAAAAAAATCAAAGCACAGATGATTTTCAAAATAAACGAAAAAATCGATGTATGTTTAAATCAAAGATGGGGGTGAAGCGCTCTGGAAGATGGCAAAAAATGGGTTTTAACGGGGGTTGAGGGGGGGGGGGTTAGCTATTTTTCAACAACAAAATATACCTGAAAATGATTTTGAATTCGTAGATTACTAGATATAATTTATGTTCAGAAATGATATATTTAGGTTTACCGGCAGCTGTAGTGGTCAACTACGTTCCAGTCCTGGCCCCAGATTCATTATCTCTCGCTGGCTTTAAAACTATTCACCAGCTGTCATCGGTCAAACAGGCCGGTCTTACCAAACCAGTAAATCTGTCAGATGCGTTGAAATCATTAAAACTTTTCGACAATCCTAGTAATCTATATATTTGAGCTCATCCTTACTTCTATTCATATATCCAGCTATTTAAGTATTCAAGTTTCAGATAAGATGGATTAAGTTGAGATTAAGTACCACTTGTTTAATTCAAAATGGCGTCTCCATTCTCCGAACCAACCTCACATGTTCAAATCTTTGGATCATACAAATCCCAGGTAATATGTTTATCTTTCACATTTGTAAAGGATTACACAGATTATCTGCCTTTTCTTCATTATTCCGAGTTTTAAAGGGACTGTAAGCTTAATTTCATGTGACCTTCCATGCAAAGATGCCCGATTATTTGTCTGACCAAGTATGAATTAGATATCAATATTGATAATTTTGAAAAGTGATTATTTTGAATTGTAGTTTCTTTACAATTGACATGCACTTTTCTACTGCAGGAAAGCGTATAGGAATTATCAGAATTTAATACTTTAAACCTAGAAAAATTTCAATATCCTTCACATTATTGATCAGATAAAGGTTTCCATGGTACTGTTGTAAATCGGGCAGTGCCATCCTTGCATGGAGGGTCATTTTAAATCACGCTTCCAGTCCTTTTAAGTAACTTCGAGATTCGAGTGTTCGACTTTGCAAATGTAAATGCCGACTTCTGCAATAACAATTATTGATAACACATATTTGATACAAGTTGGTTGAATTAAATCAGAATAGTCAATTAGAACAGATCAATATAACATTCTTTAGGTGAAGAGCACTTTAAGAACAGAAGAGCTAAGTCGGGTGTCAGGTAAGCTAAATTATATTTAATCAAGGGACTGACAATTAAGACTCTACATTTGACAAGTTCCATCGATTAAAAATTCCCTAAACCGAAGTACACAATCGAAAGATTGAGAATTTGTGGATTTTTGAAGAAATTAATCGCAAAATTCATTTTTTTTAAAATAATTTTTTTTCCTTTTCCGACTGGTTTCTCCGTTTATTTAAACTCCAATCTATAAATAAAGATCAAAGTAAAATTTATGCGAAATTGTTGGTTAGACTTCTCGACCTCCTAACTCCTTGATTTTTCACTCTAAATGTAGAAAAGCAAACTTGATAAAATAGTCGAACAAAGCAGATTTCTTACACAAAGCCCTTTAATTTGTATTATATTTAGAAAAAAGATCGCTAGCTACGAGACTTGAGTTCGATGAGAGTTTTGATGGGTTTCAGCAACCAAAGATTCCAAAACTTAACAGGGATCCGTTCGATTCTGCGTTAGGTAAACCTTAAATAAGTGCTGAGGATCTATTTCATTTTTATGGGGATCTGGAATCTGGATCCGCCCCGGAAAAAAATGGGCCAGGTCCTAAGGTCCTGAACATTTGTTAAGGTTTTTTGTTTGTTTTTTTTTGCTTATTTTTATGCTGAAACCTTCATAATTGTCTTAAAAGTGAACATTTGCATATTATATTTTTTACAAATCATGATCTGTGTTCGTTCTCTTTTTCCGTCTTTTTTCTACTTTATTTATTATATGAGGTTGGTCCATCATCATCACCGAATTTTAAATACTGAAGCATTTCAGGACGGAAAAGGTTTGCAAGTGAAAGCTCAGGAGCAGTTACTATCCTGCAAAAGAAGAATGAAGAACTCAATGAGAAAATAAAAGCCCTGACAGTGGAATCAGCTGGAGATCTGGCAAAAATATCAAGATTAGAAAACAAGTAAATATAATGTAATCTAACCTTCTCTACCTTCAGTTTTCAGAATTTGGAAATTAAAAAAAGTTTGATGTTTGTACATTTTGAGAACGTGTTCCAATATTTAATTTGTTTTACATGCCTAATAAGTCATCATATCGTGTCAGTCATAGTTAAATTTAGAGTTGAGAGATAAATAATAGAAAAGTTAGAAAATACAAGGGAACATTTAAATATAATTTATTTTTTTACTTTTTTTCAAAATTTCAAAATATTAGAAAATAAAGTTGGATTCTTCAGGGAAAAAATAATTTTCTTTTATGTATGTGAAAGGAGTTTTTTTCAGGTTTGAGCAGGCTGAGTTGACCCACAAGAAGGAGAAACTGGATTTAGAAAACAAACTCGAGAAAACAACCAGACTCTACAAGTATGGTTTGGTACAATTAATTTTTAGTTTGCATAATGTATTGGATTTTTGTACTGATCTTGAATACAAGATAACCTGGTTGATTTGTAGGCTTGAAGTAGATAAATGTTCTGATCTTGAATACAAGATAACCTGGTTGATTTGTAGGCTTGAAGTAGATAAATGTTCTGATCTTGAATACAAGATAACCTGGTTGATTTGTAGGCTTGAAGTAGATAAATGTTCTGATCTTGAATACAAGATAACCTGGTTGATTTGTAGGCTTGAAGTAGATAAATGTTCTGATCTTGAATACAAGATAACCTGGTTGATTTGTAGGCTTGAAGTAGATAAATGTTCTGATCTTGAATACAAGATAACCTGGTTGATTTGTAGGCTTGAAGTAGATAAATGTTCTGATCTTGAATACAAGATAACCTGGTTGATTTGTAGGCTTGAAGTAGATAAATGTTCTGATCTTGAATACAAGATAACCTGGTTGATTTGTAGGCTTGAAGTAGATAAATGTTCTGATCTTGAATACAAGATAAACTGGTTGATTTGTAGACTTGAAGTTGATAAATGTTCTGATCTTGAATACAAGATAAACTAGTTGATTTGTAGACTTGAAGTTGATAAATGTTCTATCTTGGATACAAGATAAACTAGTTGATTTGTAGACTTGAAGTTGATAAATGTTCTGATCTTGAATACAAGATAAAGAAGCTGATTGACAAGAAAGAGAATAAAGATGAGAAAGTTGCAGAAAATAGAAGACACTCTTTAAACAGAACTGATGAACTAGAGAACAAGGTACAACAATAAATATTATTTTTTACATTTAAAATAATTATTTTTTTACTTTTTAAATGTTTAAAAAATTATCCTTTGATATTGAAACGTAGGAGCGCCGGTCCCAACACCATTGAACGCCTGGTTGTCCTTTAATACTATTAATAATGAAAGTCTATTGTGGGTTCACACTTCCAGTTGGTTTTTGGCATTTAACCACGAATTAAGCAATATAAAAATCAGAAATGGATAAAAAAAAATCTCCATTTTGTCCTTTAGTCCTGCTTGACTTTTTTCTGTTTGTTTGGGAAACATTTTAATCTATATTGAATTTAAACTTGCAGTGAAAAAAAACATGTTTTTCTAAGAAATACTAAAGTTTAAGTTAGGCATTTAACCACGAAGTAAGCTTTCATCTATACCCTTCTCAATTAGAAGAATCTAATAGATACAATTTTACAACTTTAAATGTATAAGTTAGAATTGGTTCCACTCATATTATTATGCGAACTATGTATTTAATAAATAGGCATCTACTGTTATTATAAACGAGCTGAATTCTTACTTTTAAGTAACAATTAAGGCTATTTCCTGATAGTTGTTTTCTTATGAATTTGTCCATTGCTATCATAGCTTATTATTCAAATACTTTATATAGGTCCATACCCCCATTTAAACTAATGAAAAAACCTCTACTAATTTGTTGTTACTTTGTAAATTGATATAAAAGAAGTCTGGATTTTTCAAAAAAAAATTAGACTCCTAAAAGGCAAAAAATCTAAACCTACAAAATTCTTTACTAAAACCAAATCTAACAAGAAAATACGTCTAAATGCTACTTATCTTTTTGGGATTTAAAAAAAGAAATTATTTGAAGGTGCGTAGTCTCCGTGATACCCGGAGTAGATTGGAAGGAAAACTTGAACAACTTCAATCTCAGTTATCTAGAAGACCAGATATAGATACATTCACTTATAATAACCAGGTATGTGATCAATGCTAGTTATCTAGAATTCCAAATATAGATACATTCCCTTATAATAACCAGTCATGTGATCAATGCTAGTTATCTAGAAGACCAGATATAGATAGATACATTCCCTTATAATAACCAGTTATGTGATCAATGCTAGTTATCTAGAAGACCAGATATAGATACATTCACTTATAATAATCAGGTATGTAATCAGTTATCAGGTTTGTTATCAATGCTAGTTATCTAGAATACCAGATATAGATACATTTATTTATAATAATCAGTTATGTAATCAGTTATCAGGTTTGTTATCAATTATATTTAATTTGCTTAAGATTCACAAGTTCGAGGCTGATGTGTCTGACCTCCGGCAGAGGCTGAGGGAGGCCGAGGACAAGAATAAAATGTTAAAATCAAAGCTGGAAGGACATGAAGTCCAAGGTTCAGCATTCTTAAAAACAAAGGTTAGTCTGTTAAACATTCATAAAAATTCAGTCATTCTAATCATCATTGGTCAATGTCATCATTATCATCATCATTATTTTTATATTCATCGTTACATTAAACTTTAGTAAAATCATTCGTAGGATTTTTAGTATTGTTACATTGTTGTTATCATAATCAGTTATCACCTACATCATCATTCTTTAAACTGTCATCATTGTCACTTTAAGCATTATTTTATCATTTACTAAAAGATTATTTTATTTTCTTGAAAAATTATTTCTTCCTCCCCTTCTTTGAAAATCATTTTTTCCCCCAGAAGAATAAATGATAAAGAAAAAATGATATTTTAGGGTAAATAAATGAATTTTTGGGGAAATCTATCGAACAGGATAAAATAATGCCTTTTGAAGTCCAATTTTTCATGTTTTTCCTCAGTTAATAAAAATATCATTCTTAAAATTGTACACCCCTGATGTACTGTGTTTTTTAGGAGGAATTGCTCCGTTATAAGAACCGAGTAGAGAAGCTTGAGTCTGAGATGGAAGCGAACAGGGATGTAGTTCTACAGAGGAGAATAATGCAGGAGAAGTTGGAGAAGTTTGCAGAACTTGAGAGAGAGAGCATTAGTCTTAGGAGTAGAAACCAGCTGCTTGTACAGACACAGGTACAGGGGTGTATAACCCCCCCTCTTCTTGGAAAATAATTTTTTTTCAAGAAGTTTTGTGTGTATTATAGTTTTTATTGCTGAATTCGGGAAAATAAATGATTTTTAGGTGGAATTTGGTTATTACCAATAAAATTTAACTTTCCTATGGATTTAAAACTTTTAATTTTTCCCCTAATTTATCAAAAATCACCCACCCACCCCCCCTCGAGGAGGTGCCGTAATTCTTAAAATTTTACCCCTGTACAGTGTACACTGACTATCGGGTTGTCATTAAATAGAAAAGAAATAAGCAAAAAAGATATGATATGCTTATCGGAAGGGGGAGTGCTGAGGGGTGGGATTGCCTGGAGCCAGGAACAACCCCAGTAATTTTCTTTAAAAAACTAAATAAATACAAGATAATTGATAAAAGGGTATTATTTATTTTGTTCGTAGCCAATAAAATTATAAAAGTCTGAACAGGTGAGCTAATTACTGATTAGGCACACATTTTTTGTAGGCTCTTAGGCAAGTTATATTGCCCGAAACTTATTGAAAATCATAAAAAAAAATCGTCGATATCTGTAAAAGGATTGTTTTTGAAGGAACTGTAAGCTCAATTTCAATGTTCGATTTACAAATGTTAAGACAGCGCACACTGGAAATTGTATTTGAATAGAAGCGGGTTCTGATAAGTTTACACAGACATATCTTTGTACTCGACGAATACACGAAGGTTTAAGGGCACCTTTGTAAATTGGACATTACCCTCTTTTCACTGAGGGTCACTTGAAATTACGCGTACAGTCCCTTTAAGTTGCGCTACAGAAAGTTAAAGATAAAGCAACTTATTATAAACAAAATTTATTCTACTACTAGGATAATATAAGACTACTGAACGAACAGATCTTGAACCTAAAGGAGGACAAGGAGAGGGCTGAGTCCCAGGTCAAGGACAGGGACAACATCAAAGCTGATTTTGAGATAGTCAGGTAATAGTATATTATGCGTAGGAAGAAAGTGCGCCTTTCGGTGAATAATCAAAATTATTCCACGGTTTTTCTTTTTATATTATAACAATAATTTTGATTATTACACTTCCTTCCTACGCATAATAATACTATACCACCTTTACACGAATAATTATAATTATTACACAAAATGGGTGACAATAACAAGAATTATTCCTGATTTGGCCACGTAGTAAATCCGACAAGATCGTAGATGAGATAGACAGATAGTAATAGAGATAGAAATAGATACAGAAAAAGGAAAAGAAATATTTCAAAAATCAACAGAAAGATAGACGGTTGTTTTAAAATGGGCATCGTTATATCTTTTTTAATGTAACACAATTATTAAATACTGGACCTTGAGCGCACTTGAAGCCCCCTGATATAGTAACAATTACAGTTGAACAGGTGCTCTTCAAGCTGCCATTTTCTTTGTAAATCGTAAAGGTGCAACAGATGAGATTTGCGATTTAGAAGTAAAAAATCGCGGCCTAAATAGCAACATTCATACACAATAATTGTTACTAATAGAGACTAGAGAGGCGCGAACCGCCATGTAAACCTTGTTATATATATTTATGTACTATAGGAAGGAACTAGAAGGATGGAGGGAGCTAATAATGGATATAACTCCTGCCGATGACCGAGGAAAGCTAGGAGAACGGGGAGAACTAGGACTACACACTGCTCGACAGATAATCCAATCCTTGAGGAGAAGGGAGTTGGAGATGGTTACATCACTTGCTGATACAAAGGTAATTTTATAAAATTGTCTGATACTTGAAATATAAAGGGACTGTAAGCGTCCCCTGACCCTCCATGTAAAGATGGCAATGCAAGATTTACAACGGTACCCTTGAAACCTTTATCTGATCAAAAATGTGGAAGATAACGCGTTTTTCTGACTCGAAACGTTTAGTTCTGATAACTTCTATATTGTTTTTTTTATAAGCAAGCAATTCGCAAGTCACTTTTGCAGAGAAACCCGAAATGAAAATAAACAGTTCACCCTTGATCAGACAAAGCTTTTAAGTGAAACGTTGGAAATCGGACATTGTTATCTTTGCATGGAGAGTCACTGGAAATAACGCCTAGACTCCTAGAGTCCCTATAACTGTAAAAGAATATTTTCACCTTTAAAGAAATCAGTAAAAAAATCTATATTTTTTAAACTTAATTTTTTAGAGCGAATTAAACTTTGAGAAAGAGAAGAATAATTCATTACTTGAGAAGATCAAGATAGTGGAGTTTGATCTATCAAGAACTAAAACAGGACAGGTATTTAAATACTCGAGAAGATCAAGATAGTTGAGTTTGATCTATTATGAACCAGAACAGGACAGGAATACTAGAAATGCCACCAGCTTGTTTTCTGAGTTAAAATATGTGTTATTTTTGTTTGTTTTTTACTTTTTACATTCATTGACATACTAGCCAAGGTGCACGGCGTTGACGGTGGAATTTAAAAAATACTTGGGAAAAAAATTCGAATTCAAATAAATAAATTTCGGGGTACCCATGGGTTTTCTTAAAAAATTTCAGCCAATTTGGTCAAGCCGTTTGGATTACTGTAATACGAGCAAAGAGCTTTTTTACAGATAAAGCGGGTTTTCTATAAATTCTGTTAACTATATTACAGGGGACATTAGTTCCAAATCTAACACTTGGCCCATTTCTAGCACTAAGTGTTAGAAATGGGCACAAATTAAAAGACTGGGTTTATTAGGATCCCGGCCCATATCCAGAGTAAAAGAAGTCGATAGTTAAACTACAACCAACATTTTATTAAGCATTACGAGAACAACAATTCCCAATTTAAAACTATTTTCTGAAATCAATATTTTAAAAGGAGTTTTATATTAATACCCTTGACCGTTTTCAAGACAGTCAGGTTTTCCATTTTCGAACATATCCTGAATTTGAATCATTGTCGCGTTTTCGACAAAAGCCACTTTCCTGCTTTTGAGTTTAATCCTCAATTCTGAACAAAACTCACTTTCATAACTTGAAAAAAAAATCATTGAAAGTAAAATTATCTTTAAAGACTAAATAAGCTGCTAAATTATTTTTTAAATGTGAATTTACCCATTTTTATTTTTTTAGTAAGAGAAAAAAATTAATTTTAATTGACATTTTATGTTTCAAAATATAGTTATAGTCATAATTTGTAAATGTATTATGTAGTTTTGTTTGGATTTAAAGATATATACGCTTGGAAAAGATAACTTTGCAAACTTGGCACGTTTCTAATACTGAGTGTTAGACATGGCTGTTAGTTTTGGAACTATTTTCCCCTGTAATATCGGTTGTTATTCGAAATTTAAACAATATTGGTACAACACAATTCTTAACTTAAATATATATTTAAACTTTTTTTAAAAATACGATCAGATAGTGATAAAGGAAAAATGTAGAGTGAGATCACATATATAAAGAAACCTTTTAAGTTTATTCACTTAACTTGGGAAAATGAAGCGGCAAGTATATTCCTAAACCATACATTTGATCTAATTTGAGTTTCCTCAAGCTCTAACTTTTTTATTTCTACACCATTGCAACCTCAGATTGTAAATAATTTTTGTTATTTCTATTTTTAAATATTTGATCTAGCATGCTTCATAGTTGTAAATAGCAAAAATCTACGACTACAGATTGCCAAGATATAAAGATTAGAAAATTTGAGATTTAGACAAATTATCAGTTTCATAAATATTGACTGCTTCTAGGCAATCCTGGATAGTGTAGAGAAGGAGATGACACTCAGCGGGAACCAGTGGGAGCAGGAGAAGATCATAGGGTTGGAGAAGACTCTGGAGGAGTACAAGGCTATGGTGGAGATGCTGATGGAGAAGGATGGAGCAGATGGGATTGAGAAGAATAGATCAGAACTAGTTTTGCTCCGGGAGAACTATTCTCAGCTCAAGAATAAATATATGAAGTAGGTTTATTGTTTCTTTTTTCTAAAATCTGACAAGAATTAATTGTAGAGAGATTTTTTTAATTTTAATGCATACTGAAACGTGGAGAAAGAAATATTTTGCTCCGGTTTTCTTCTTTCAGAAAAACTGGGGGCTCAGAGGATTTAGGGGATTTAAAAAAATCTTTTTTTATTACTAATTTGAAAAGGTTTGGCAGAAATTGTACGAACCTGGAAACGAAATAGAGGAAATTATGATCCTTTATGATCCTCCTCTGTTTCCTTAAAGGGAGTGTTCACAAGAGAGAAAAAATTAAAAATTTCATCTGATGCCCTGAAACTTGAGTAAGGAGAATATTGTAAAGCGGAAATTCGAGTCAAATCCTGCATTAGCTGGAAATTCATCTAGCGGTCATATTATCTTTCTCCATATATATAGATTTAGCTTTTCTTTTAGTTTGTTAGTATCCAATAAACGTCAAAACGGCTAAACCGATCGGGCCCAAATTTTTTGTGGGACCTCACGTAACCCCAGGAAAGAACCGTTTTCAGCTGCTTCTGGCCGATTTTAGAATGTTTTTATGGCATTTTTAAAATATGTCCTCATAACAAAATTTCCAAAGATTTTAAGAATTTTATGCTTAATACAAATCCAGTTGAATCAATAGAGATTTTCTAGTGTTAAATGATGTAAATAATAAAAATAATTTATTCTAGGTTAGAACTAGAACTGGACAGAAGGTCAATTAGAGGAGATTATGATCCTACCGACACCAAGGTATTCACCTAGAAATACTCATGTTAATTCTTTTTAAAATTATATAATAATGCTCTTTGCTCATATATATATTTTTATTTGTATATATGTTAGCGTTAGCTGGCCAAAAGGCTGGACAAAATTTGCTAAATTTTTTGGTTTATCCTAAGAAAAAATGGTAAAACGACTGTTACAACTTGCATCAATTTTGGATCTTTATTGGTTCGTTTTTTGCATATTTCTTCTGTCAGGATCACAGTTTGACGTGGTGTAATAAAAGCAAATGTTAAGAATAAAAAATGTTCATTTTCCACTATGCCAAATTTTTAGCCTGTTAGAAAATATAGGAAAAAACAACCTAAAAACGCAGTAACTGAAGGCACATAACGACTTAGAACGACTCTATCAATTTGAAAATGAACGTAAGAAATGAATGAACTTTTTTTTTGTGTCTTGGATTCTTTAAATTCATTAAATCATAACTGATGAAATTAAGTTTATGAGCAACGTTATATTGAACAAAATCTTGTAAATGAAATGTTTTTTTTTAATCTTATCCTTAACTGTTTTAAAAGATTTGAAAGATGCGATAACCCAGCAAGACATTTATTGTAATATGCAATCTACAGGACAATCCTGACGTTTTTGGTAAAGGATGTATGAAGTTTGATAATCTTTGTCGTAATATCACCCAAAAGCAATTCTGTGCCTATACCTTTCTCTAAATGTGTAACCTATAGTCAATTCTTTCGGTTGAAACAAGCCGCAGGGCAACAATATCGTCGTATTTCTATCTTCTGAATTATGAAAAATTTCTTCCATTGTCTTATGTAAATGAAATGTCACTTGAAATTGAATTTATTCTGATATTCTCTTCTAACTTTTATCAGATCAGTTATGTCAAAGATATTGTCGTTTTTCTAGGGTTTAATTGTAATAATTCCTAAATGTTTTCCTGCAGTAGAAATGCGAAAGTCCCTTTTGTAGAGAAATCACAGTTAATAGTAATCCGTTTTCAATGTTATAAACATTGATAGCTAACTTTTGAGGGTACCTTTGTAAATCGATTATTGCCATCTTTGTATGGAGGGTCACTTGGATGCGGTTTTCATCAGGCTTTTGGGGGGCTCTCCACCCCGATTGCTAACATCTGTGTGAGCATAAACCATTGCACTATGCTATGTTAACGGGCTAGAACACGTATGGTTTTGTCTGGGCCGATGCATGGGTAGTGTTGGCGCTATTAGGAGCCTCGTGATCAATAAATCAATGATCCTTGTGATCTAGGTGTTGCACCTGAGAATGAACCCCCTGAACAGCGCTGTTATGAAGGAGGCTAGGATGAAGGAGGAGCTGCAGAAGGATAATGATGCTTTGAGGGCCCGGATACAGCTCCTGGAGGAGGGACAGACCAAGGATCTAACCATGATGGTGGGGCACAGGTTGGAGGAGGGCGTGTCTAGTCAGGAGGTTCAGAATCTACAGGAACAGCTCAAATCATCGGATTTGAAGAATCAGAGGATTATGGAGATGTTTAAGAAAACTTCGAAGGTCAGAACTTTAGTATTCTTAATCCGTTCGAAATTTCTGGGATTTATTTTTTAAATATATAATCTACCGATCAAAGCCACATAACATACAATCTCGTACAATCATCAATACAGTAAACCATTCATCATTTGTCAATTTGTAATTTTAAGTGACCATCCATTTACAAAGGTACCTCTTAACCCTTAATCTGATCAATAATGTGGAAGAAAATGTAGTTTTTTATAGCTTAAAAAGTGATTTATTCTTAAAATTGCAACGCACTTAAATGTAAATCTTAATTGAGTTTAGGGCATGAAATCAAAAAAAAACATTTAACGGGGGTGGGGAACCTGGAATTGGTAAAAAATTAATTATATAGTATATACAGTACACTACTGGTCTTTGGATTTGCTTCCAAATCCCTTCTTCAATTGTTAAATAAATTATTTATTATTATTATTATTATTATTAAATTATTTAAGGAGTTTCGTGAATTTGTTTTCCAGACAACAGGATACAGGATAGATAAATCAGGAGAGGATACTTACAAGGTCAGTGTGCAGTGTTCTAATAGAAGTAATTTATTCTCACCTAATTTATTCTCACCTAGTCAGTGTGCAGTGTTCTAATAGTATTAATTTATTCTCACCTAGTCAGTGTGCAGTGTTCTAATAGTATTGATTTATTCTCACCTACTTATACTTTGCAGAAATTTCTTTTCTTTATTCGTCAATTTTGTTCATGTTAGGTCCCACAAAATCGGATTTTGGCGATTTTTTTTTTTGATACAAATGAACTTTTTAATCTATGTTTTCTAAAAATGGGATTTTTATTTAGAACTGATTCATTTTTGGTTGTTTTCACAGTGAGCATTTGATTAAGTGTTTCTTGAAATTGACTTTAATTTTACTGTAGCTGAACTTCATTTTTGTTCAATTCGTTATTCTTTTTACTATTAACATACTTTCTTTTATTTTCTTAAAAGAATGGATTCGTTCGAATTCGTATTTCAATAAATTAACAATTTAAACGTTTAATTTAATGTTAATGTCAAAAAGTAGAAAGTATTTAATAGATTTAAGGATTTTTCATTTCAGTGAACTTTTAGAATTAAATTAGATCGGAACTATTGAATTTTAGGATCAATGCTTGATCCCTGAATCAAGTTGATTATGCAAGGCATGACCACCACGGGAGATCAAAGATTAATTTAATCAATCCGTTAGTCTACATAAGATGGAGATCCATGCTTGATCCCGTGATTTACAAAACAAAAGTTCTGGCTTCTGATACTATTTGTCCATGACTTATTTTGCTAAATTTACAAAGTTTGAATCTTAAAGCGTAATATCAGGTGACCCTTTATTTGTAAAGTGTGGTATCTGATTCAAAACAGTACCCTTCTAACCTTTGACTGATAACGGATGTCAGACTTATCCTTCATTATCTTGCAGAAACTCATGTAAATGCTGAACACTTAAAGCTGTTTTATATTTAATAAATATAAGTCTATAAGTAACAGATAATAAATATATACATTCGAATTTGTGAAAACCGCATTGGACATAGAATATTCGGCAACTTCTTGGTATACATGTAACTACCATTGTACGCTAGCGTACAATGGTAGTTACATGGTAATTTGAAGACTATTTGAGAGATAAACACACCGAGTTCTCTGAGTAGTTTATAGTTTACAAAGACATATATTTAGGTTAAATCTGTTTATGTTGACTCCCCAGACTCGTATCTGCTTTTCAAACTTTCTGAACAGGTGAAAACTTTTTTTTCAGTGCTTAGGATCCGGATCCGCAAAAATATGCCGATCTACGGATCCGGATCAAAGGGTCATAATAACAACAAAAAAAAAATTCATCTCTGAAAGGTTCATCAAATTTCAGCATAAAAAGGAGCGAAAATTACTCTTAATATTCAGTAAATATTTAAGATATGTTCATGACTTGGATCTGGATTTTTTTTTCCAGTGCTGATACAGGATCCGGATCCGCATCAAAATCAAAATCAGATGGATCCTAATTACTGCTATTTTAGAGTCTAGTTGAAGCTAGATTTGACAGTGTCTGAAGTTATAACATTTGTGTATTTTCCTAATTTCTTTCTAAATTGAATGTCCTTAATTTGTATTTTCGCTGTGGGTGCGTCGTGCAATCCTGCTTCTTATTGTTGTTAAACCTCTGAAAATGCGTAAAATATGATATTTTCTATGTTTTTGGCTTGGGACAAATATATATATTTGATTTGATTTGATTTGATTTGATATCTATATCTCAATTTATGTATATCTATGTAAGAATGTATATATACATCTGTATTTATGGATATCTATATCTATTTGTGTATTGTATAGGCTGGATTAGAAATGCTGGAGAGTGAGTTTAGTCTTGAACTTGAAGAACTGATGGAACAACATCTTGAACAGCAGAACAGTTTTCCTATGTTCCTTGCTGGGCTTACTATGCAGGCCTATAGAAAACGTCAGGTAGGAAGATGTGGGCGGTAGATAAGGGGGCAGTAAATTTTTCCTATGTTCCTAGCTGGTTTTACTAATTACTATGGAGGCCTATACTAAACGTCAGGTAGGAAGATAAGATGGGGGGGGGGGTTGTAGATAAGGGATCAGAATAGTTTTCCTATATTCCTTTGAAGGACAAAATATGACCTTGTGGTAATTAGTCTGAAATGAGCTGACGGGAACAGATTCTTTCTATATTCATAAAACAATGAATACTAGTTAGTTGCTAATAAACTTCTTAAATCTCTTATTTTACATTTTATTTAATGTCAACCAGATCGATCTACATAATCAGAGGCGTATACAGGGGGGGGCTTTTGGGCTACCCCCCCCCCGAATCAGGTTTTTTCTGGTCCCAACGGGTGTTGAGCTTCCCTAAAGAAATTTTGTTAAAACTCCCACATTGGACAAACTCCTGTATACGCCTCTTAAATTAATGTAATTTACTATGTAATATAACAGTATCATTACACATGAGGTGGGTACCTGGTAGCATTCGTATCATTAGGAAGGCATAATAGATAGATGTTTGTATAATTATTATGTCTTCAGCTGATAACCAGTTTTGTTAAAGACCCTANCCCCCAACATATTCCTGTAAACGCCTCTGAATCAGTGATAATCTAGGGAACTTATTGTGAAGAAGACGAGGAGGAAGTTGATGACCATGATGAGTATGAGGATGATGATGCTGGAGAGGTTGACGAAGAAGATGAAGAGAATGATGATGATGAAGAGGACGATGATGGGAATAATGAGATAGATGACGCCAGGTTTATATTTATATTTTTATCTTCAATTTCATTAAATTATGATATATAGGGAATTTTTTATATGCTAATTAAGTTATTTCCGAAATTCTTAAGATTAACAGAGTTCTTTAAAAATGACGATTTAACCACATAATAGACATTTGGAGAAATATCACAATTGGGAATTAGTTTATGTTAAGCGCGCTTTCAACATATTTTTTTCAGTTCCCAGTAGAATAGTTACATGCTCGACCCTTTACACCTTTATTTTAACAATAATGAGGAAGCTATTGTCGTCTCTCTTGTTGAATTCTGTCAAGTCCGTTTTTGTTTATTTTGTCTTTATTTTATTCAAAATTATGATTGACTGGTTTGTAATAGAAATTAATAATAGTTTTCAAAGAGGACAACTCACAGCATGATTATCTTTTTCACTTATAGGCAAACGAAGTTTCGAAGTTTTAATCTGAATCTGTAATGCAACAGGGCCCCTTGAAATTACGTGGACAGTCACTTTAACTGTTACATACATACCCTAGGGTATAAACTTAACTTGAATCATTAAATGCATGGTTTTTATTTAGAAGTGTTGATAGTGGAGACAGCAGTGACTTGATTTGTGTTGAAGACGATTGATGAAATGTTCGCGGATTTGTCTGGATAATAAACGGACGCGGCACTCTCGCGGGGTGCGATAATTATTAAGCATTGTTGTCTCGTGAAAATCTTGAGACTATTAGGACATGTTACGTTGTATAAATCGAGTTCAAACCACTTGGTTAAAAATGATGTGATTTAAAACCATAAAGATTATATTTTTGAAAATCACAATAGAAATGGTGATTTGTAAATGATAGCATTGTAATGTTTCAGAAATAATGTTAGAGACTGATGTGTGTTCAGTTTGCGGGGGTGCGGCTGAAACCAACTTTATAAAGAATAAGTTAACATACACTTGTGCTTCACTACAAACATCACTTCACACACTCTTGGGAGAAGGTTAGTCATAAAATTAGGAGGTTATTCATTAGTTATCAGGGATACATGACGCATGTCCCATAGTCCCTTTGGGCGCGCTAGTAGCCAATATTTACATTTTGGGTCAACTTTCCACATAATTTACATTTTGTAAGTTGATTTGTAGGTATTTGAGCACAAGGCATTAATTTCTGAGTCAAAATAAATATTGGATCAATCTGACCGGTGAGCTAGTAGCCGTCAGTTACATAATGGGTCATCTTTCCACATATTTTACCTGTTGTATGTCGATTTTTAGAAAATTGGGCATGAGGAATTCATTTCTGAGGTTAAAATAAATATTGAAGAATCTGACCGGCGCGCTACTAGCCGGCAGTTACACTATGGGTCATCTTTTCACAATCCACATGTTTTACAGATTGCTCCAAAATTTATTTTGACCTCAGAAATGAATTCCTCGCGCCCAATAACCTGTAAATCGACATACAACATGTAAAATATGTGCTAAGATGCCCCACAATGTAATGGTTGGCTACTAGCGCGCCGGTCAGAATGCTCAGCAATTAATTCCTTGTCCCAATTTCGCATAGTTTTATGTATCTCAGAGGCCAAACTTAGCACATAAGTATTCAAATGTATTTTCTGTTATTTCGCGCACGGATACTTAAGGCTTTGGAGGTGAAGTTCAAATGTTCAAGTGCAATTAATGAAGTTAAGATTGATATAAATGCAAAAAACGTCGTAGTTTTTCACGAAAAGCGCGTGCGCTCGCACTTATGCTCAGATCCGTTGAAAATCAAAAATGCATGTAATATACATAATTTTTAGTTCGCATGCAAAAATTCAGCCTACTACGAAAATTCTTCCCCTGTCCCCTGTCCGTATAAAAATGATAACTTTTCAACCTTTGCCTAATCAAAGATAAATGAGACATTTTTTTTTCTGGCTGAAAATTGACTCTTCAAATTGTAAATTTTCCATATAAGTGACTTGAGGATTTATGCTGCAGAGGCAGTGAAAGAAACTGTCAGAATTCAACTCGCTTAATTTGAAATTTCACCCAAAGTCTCCATAAGTGCCATGCTAATTTTTCATTTTTTGGAAGCTGTCAGTTCCGGCATAGCATGTTCCCTTCTCTAAATTCTGTATAGATTAGTCGGGTAGAACAGCAGTAATATATCAAATCTTAAACTAAACAGCTGGATTGGTTGGCACGGCTTGACCTTGCCGCCTCAAGCTAATAAATTCTTGGAAATTGTTTTTGTCTAAACATCCACGATTTAATTAATCAGATGGATCGATTGGCACAGCAAGCTATTAAATTCTTAGAAGCTGTCCCGCCCGCCTAAACATACATCCTTTTATAAATTTTATTCGCGGGAGGCGGGTGAAGTGATCAATTTGACTAAAAGTTACATGATTAATGAGTGTAGACATTTTTTGATGAATAGAAAAATACCTTATATAATCTTCTTCTTTTTAAATATGTTAAGAATTGTCAGATTTGGAATTAAATTGGGGTTAACATCCGTAAAATGAATTATAAGATATTTGGTGCAATTTAGTGAAATTGCTAAATGAGTATCTCAATAGACCAGTAAGCTTAGAATAAGTGGAGGGGGGGGGTTACACGCTGTTTATATGGATCTATACTTTGTATTTCAGGTATGTAGAAAACGATCGATTCATTTTATGAATCCCTTCATATAATTTCTTTGTTGATTCATTTTATGAATCCCTTCATATAATTTCTTTGTCGATTCATTTTATGAATCCCTTCACATAATTTCTTTGTCGATTCATTTTATGAATCCCTTCATATAATTTCTTTGTCGATTCATTTTATGAATCCCTTCACATAATTTCTTTGTCGATTCATTTTATGTATCCCTTCATATAATTTCTTTGTCGATTCATCTAATGAATCCCACTCTCTATATAATTTTAAATTTATCATATAATCTATTTGTCGATTCATTTTATGAATCCCTTATCTATAAATCGATAATGAATCCCACTATCTATAGAACTTTATAATTTATCATATAATCTATTTGGCGGTTCATTTTATGAATCACTTCTCTATAACTCAATAACTTATTTTAAGCTTATTTATCAATTCATTTTAAAATTATTCGTTTCAACTCATGAATACCCTTTTTAAACACTCAGTTAACCGGGAGGGAGATTCTCTCTGTCAGCATTTAAATATGTATTTAATACAACTGTTTGGCAACTAGCTGACAAAAGGAATCAGACCGGTGACATGGCTCAAATTTGGTCGTGTGTCCGACGTTAGGATTTAAACTATGTCAGGCTGAAAAGCCTTCACCTATAGGGGATTGTGATGGCATACCCCATGTAGGTCAAGGAGCTGTTGGACGCATCCCTAGCTGTATGATATGATATGATATGAACTGTAATGGGTTTATAAGAGATGAAGCTGTGTTACCTGTAACTGTAATGGGTTTATAAGAGATGAAGCTGTGTTACCTGGAACTGTAATGGGTTTATAAGAGATGAAGCTGTGTTACCTGTAAAGGAATCAGACCGGTGACATGGCTCAAATTTGGTCGTGTGTCCGACGTTAGGATTTAAACTATGTCAGGCTGAAAAGCCTTCACCTATAGGGGATTGTGATGGCATACCCCTTGTAGGTCAAGGAGCTGTTGGACGCATCCCTAGCTGTATGATATGATATGATATGATGATCTAGGAAAATATCGAGCAGTGTGTCATCTCTGTTATGCACTGATTGATCGAATTGATTTTCTTCAACTCGAAATTAAACTGAAACTAAGCGAGCTCAAGACTATCTTTTCACAAACATTAAGGTAAGAACTACTTAAAGAATTATTGACGACAGCGGAAATTAGCTACGTTGCCCAAGGGCGTATTCAGAATTTAATCTGGGGATGGGGGGCAAAATCTTGGAGCTCCTAGGGGGGGGGGGCAAATTTGAACATTTCGAAGTTACTAATATTGTATAAAATCTTTTTAAAATGTTTTCGCTACGAAAATGAAATTGCATTTCTTACAGTTACAGGAACGTTTCTTACAAATTCAGCTTCATCACGAAATTGCTTTCGCTTGCATTATTTTATTGCGCGGAATTGTGTTATGATTGCGAACAAGGAAGCAATAAAATATTCGCGGAATTTCGTGCAGCGGAATTGCAAATTTATGCAGCAGATTCAAGTATGGAAATATGTCGGTAGATTTTAAAATAATCGAGGCCCGAGGGTCACTTGTTCCAACAGTTATGAAATTTTAATTTCTTGTTAAGCTACTAATTCACAATTTAATATGATAAATTTTTCATTTGTTCACATTGGATAAACATTAAAAAACTTTTTTTGGTTAACATTTTAAGGTTCGTTTAATTAAAATTATATATTTTGCTACAGTGAGACCCAGAAAACTATATTACAGCATTATTGTGTATTTGATGTCGTTATAAAGCAAAAAAGTTTGATTAGTAACTTATTAAATCACTTAAATTCCTATGCCATTTCTTGCTGTTTATGAATATTAGAAAACAAAAGATCAAAAGATTAAACTTCAAGTCAATTTTCTTAGCATTTGAGACTGAAATGTTAGTGAAGTTCAGTTTCTTGTATGGCACTCGACCAATGTTTAAATTGATTTTTTTTTGTTGAACGTAATTGCTCAATAATTCATTGCATTTATTGCGTTCTAAATGGTTTATATTGAATATTATCAAAAATTGAAACATAAAGGAAAGAAAGTCGGACAGAATTACGCGAATCGCGCTCAATTAAATGCATTTGCGCGCAAGTGCTCGCAATGCGCACTTGTAAAATCCACTTGCGTTGGAAACCCTAGTTCTAGTTCATACACGGAAGATCAAGCAGATCAGCAGATCAGCAGGGATGTAAATTAACCCCATCCCGGTGCACGGTGGGGGGCAAAGATTTTGAAGATCTGGGGAAGGGGATTAAAATTTACACATCCAAAGGCACATATAATAATCCTGTTACATCTGCTTTTCCCAAAAAAAATTTAATTTCCCTTTAAAATCATTTGTTTTTCCCTAGTTCAGCATAAAATAATTATTTTTTTGTTAGGGGAAGATTTTTAAAGCTCACATAACACACCCTTGCTTTTAGACAAAGTAAAGTTGGACATAGACTGGTGAATTTCCCACCCTTTATCTCAAAACATCCCTAATATACTGGGGGTTATGTATTAAAAAGAGGTAATAGTACAATGCACCCCTGGTTTTTCTTTGATAACATTTTAGTTCTGTCTCGAAGATTAGATCTTTACAGAAGTAGATGTTTCAATTTATTTTAGGAAAATTTCCGTAAGTACTAAACCCATGTACTGTAGAGAGATAAAAGAGAAAGTAAAATTACCAAGATTCCCTTGCAAACTCTGCTTGAAACTATTAACGGAGCGTGGTCTGGAAAAGCATAGAAAAGTCTGTATTGCCAAACACAATAATAAAGTTCCTGCTGACAATGTTCTCGGTAAGTTTAAACAGTTATAATCTCTTCTATATATATAAAGTTGTAATCTCTGTTTGTTTGTTTGTTTGTTTGTTTGTTTGTTTGTTTGTTTGTTTGTTTGTTTGTTTGTTTGTTTGTTTGTTTGTTTGTTTGTTTGATTGTTTGTTTGTCGATTATAACTCATGAACCCCTTGACTAATTTGCCTCAAATTTTGATTGGGGAACTCGAAAGAACCATGAAAATGTTCTTGGCTTGGTTTTGAGATAGTTGAGTGGGTTGGCTTTTATATGGAAAAATAGCTAAAATTGTATTTTACGACCAAGCGGAAGCAATAATGAGCAACATGGGCAACTTTGTGTTCCCAACCTAGTTCGGTCTTTTATGCATTTGTTACGTTGATTTGATTTGGCGGATCTCCCTCAATTAAACTAAAAAAAATAGTTTAAGAAGGCGTGAATTAAATTAAAGATAATTATGCAGAGACCTTGCAATGAAGGCATAACAAGAGGAGGAAGGCCAACCACAGCAATTCCTAGTCCGAGTCACATTCTCCTCATTTTCTCGTCCGAGCCACCTCGAAATCCTTGTCCTTTCAAAATAAAATTTAAGTGTCCAATCCTCGAGGACAAGAATATTTTTTGAAAATCTGTCAACGTTGGGTATAAATGACATATGAAATTTTCTTTTACAAATTTTGAATTTGTGATTAACTTTATGCTCCCAATTAAGCTAAGCATCTGTCTGCAGTATCCCTTTTCGCGTAGAATGCCGAAAATTATTATGAAATTCAATCAAAATAACTGTTTTGTATTCATACACTTCAATTTCGTCCACATTTCCATATTGATTTAAATTATTTAAATCATTTGCTACAATTTATCCGTCACAATCCTATGAAAGGATTTCGAGGTGGCTCGGACGAGAAAATGAGGAGAATGTGGCTCGGACTAGGAATTGTTGTGGTTGGCCTTTCTTCCCTCGCATAACGATCGTATTAATGTTAAACCGGGTTTTTTTTGTTCAAAAACTTAGGTATGTATTTCTGTAGTTTTTATACAAATGCTGGCTATATTATTCAAAGATTATATTAGAAAGGTAAAGCTTAACTTCTCATTTTTATTTCAGTGGAAAGCAAAGTAGAGCAGTTTAAGTGTAAATTATGTGAGAAAACGTTTACACGTCAGAGCGACTGCAAGAATCACATCAGAATTCATACAGGGACAAGGGAATATTTATCCTGAGAAAACAAGAAAACGCTGATTTACCTTACCACAAGATATTTTAACTAACAAACTGTGTTTTCAATATCAAAATCCGCTTCCCATTAATTAAAAATTGTTCTGGAAGAATTTCTGAAGGTTTCCTAAACTCGCAAAATATGTCGATTTCTAGATTGAATTAAATCTTCTGCTTAGAATATTGGCTTTTAGTGATTATCTTTAATGATTTTGCAGTTGTAGGGAATCTTAAGTATAAGGAAACAGACATTTTAAATTCCGTGTAGTCGTCTCTGAAGTCTTATTCTTTGTTGTTAACCCTGTCAAGTTTACCCCGTTCATCTGGATAAACCATTTCTGGTCCTAGGAGACAAACCGTTCCAGTGTGAAGAATGCGGATCTAGATTTAATCAAAAACAAAATTTAAGAACGCACATGAGGATCAAACATTTTAAGGTACAGAAGAATATATTGTGAGAGATATCTTAGTTTTCTATTATGAAAATCACTTTTAAATGACACTCATTTATTACGCTGGAAAAATTTGATTACCCTTGACATTACATGCTTGGATTTCCTTTGGCAAATGTTTTCAAGCTTTTCAGAAAATTATTTCTGCCGAAAACTACTTGAAATCTAATTAAAGGGACTGTAATCGTATTTTCAAGGATCTTCCATTCAAAGAGGGGCATTCCCTATTCACAACTTTATCCTTAACCTGATCTGATGAAGATACCAGACATTTCTTTATTAGTCTACTGCAAGCTTTTTTAAAGGGGAGGATTCACAACTTTATCCTTAAACCTGATCTGATCACGATACCAGACATTTCTTTATTAGTCTACTGCAAGCTTTTTTAAAGGGGAGGATTCACAACTTTATCCTTAAACCTNATTAGTCGTTTTACTCTCCGGAAAATTTAAACATTGGTTATTCTGGTTAAACATAACTTAGCATTGTCCTAGGACGCTGATTTTTTGCATGCAAAATCACTAACATGTATTGTAACTGCAAAATGCAAGAAATATTATCACTGACCAGCAGTAGCAGAAAATTAAAATTTCCTTTCGAACGTTGAAAATCTCTTTTATCGGAAAATAGTCGATATTTTCAAAGGACGCTTATAACGGGATCAATTGTGTTGAGTTCACATTGTACCTAGCGTACATAGTATTTTTAACCGATTAAACAGCTATTTAAGAGATTTACACACAGAGCTATCCCTACTCGATTAACAGTCAAGGTTTTAAATGTGACATTGCTCTCTTTATATGGATTGTCACTTGACTTAACGCTTACAGTCCTGTTAAATACTAATAATAGAAGTTTGATTTACAACATTTTGACTTAGGAGAAGAGATATGAATGTGTTGAATGTGATAAAAAGTTTACTCGGAAACGTCTTCTGGACGGACACATGAACAGCAAGCATAATCAGACCCGACCCTATCAGTGCCAGTTCTGCCAGGTATACATTTTCATATTAAATCCTATTAATCTTTGTTTTTATCATGTTTTTCCTTAAACTTTGTTTTTTTCATCCTTATTTATTTTCCCCTAGAAATCCTTTATTTTCCCAAATTCAGCGAGTAACCCACTTAACCCACTTTAAAAAAACCTAACTCCTAGGACGGGATTATTTTTGCAATGGGGTGAAAAGATGGGAGCGGGCAGATATTATTATATTAAAAGCTATACTCTGTCTTCGTATTTAAAAGGGGAAAAGAATCTATACTTTCTTTAATTGGCAAATTTATTTCTATGAATTTAAAAATGGCCCAAATTTGGCTCGATCCATAATGAAATATAAATGTTGTCAAAATACTAAATATGTCGTGTCCTGTTAGGCTCGGTTCTTTTACGCTGATCATGTTCGGAAACACGAGGCAAAATCCTGCCGGGCTCACAAAAAACAATGTGTGCAGTGTAAAAAGTTTGTTCATCAAAGTTCACTGGAATCTCATGTTTGTAGGTTTGTAGATAAAATATTTATGTATTGATATCGGGATTAATTTTTTCTTGACNTCACATTAAATCAATCAAAATATAATTTTCCTCTTCGATCCGAATCCGTGGATTAGCAGATTTTTGCAGATTTGGATACAAGAAGTCACAATGTTGTGGATCCATCGGATCCGGATCTAAGAACTGCTTTTAATTTGACAAATAATGTTCAGGAGTAAAGCAGGAGGTAAAAGCAATAAAATCAATAACACTGAAAATAAAGAGGGTCAGCTTAATATAACTAATAGTCAGGTAGTGATAAGTTAATATGAAGATTTTAGGGGGGGGGGCGGTAGGGTCAATAAATTCAAATGGTAATGCAAATATTGTTATACACCATCATAGTGTTATATAATGGTTTAATGCTGTTTTATTAGGAAATATCAGAAAGAAATGGTACTGTTGGTTATTTAAAATTTCCTGGTCATTCCCGATAAAAACATGTTGCCTTTACAAAAAAAAGAAAAACTAAAATCTGTTTTCTTTAGGTTATTTTGTGTGTTCCGGATCAAGAAAGTCTGTTAAAACTCTATCAAATAGGGGAACATGGAACACCTGGGGCTAGGAACATGGTCAAGATTAGTGAAGATCAAATACAAACCTGTGAAATACTCATTGACAGTATAGAAGGTAAAAAGCGTTTTATTTATATATGTTTTTTGTCTTTCTCTCACTGTCTTCCTCACTCTTTTCTGATTGTTTTCCGGACTGATTGTCTTCTTGTCTTTTTGTATCTTTATCTTCCTGTCTCTTTGTCTTCATCTCTCTTTGCCTTTTTCCGAATGTCTTTCTGTCTCTCTTAAATAGTTTTTGGTAAATTTTGATTTGTTTATTAGAAATGTGCCAAGGCATCCCTATTCACTGAAACAGAAATCGTTCGAACTTTGAACTTCACAAATGGGGAATGGGGACTAATTCTTTACTAAAACCAACCAAGGATGGTTTATTTTCATCGGGCCTAACTTCTTAAGAAATGGCACGAGGCACAAGCTGTACCCAGCGGAATCTGAAGGAAATATGAAGCATTAATGTAGATTAAAATAAACTTATAATTATAAACTATAATTATCAGAAATATATTCAATTAACATCTAATTATGATTATTTCTTAGTTCAAAAATTTAAATGTTTTTCTTGAGTTTAATATGAAAAAGATAAGTTTCTGATATCTTAAAGCAATCAGCTATCAAAATCTTAATCAATAGTGTCTGTTGCAAAGAGGACATACTGTTTTTTTGTGTACATTAGAAAAACTTGTATATTTGTTCTTAAAGTTTCTCTAATTTCCCTTAATTCTGGAGGACATGCCATCTGATGTTGATGTCTTTTTGTTCGACATTTTAGGATTTAAAATAGATGGATTCTTTCTCCTAAGAATCAATTGAGAATTTACCAATATTTTATATTTAGAGAATTGTATAGCAGTTGTGGAAGAGGAGGTGGTTATGATAGAGGAGAAGGTTGAGCACCCCCAGGCGGGGTTGAAGGAGAAGGCTGAGAACCCCCAGGCGGGGTTGAAGGAGAAGGTTCAGAACCCCCAGGTTGAGTTAAATGACAGATCAGCTGAGTTTGAGGTGGATAATGCTGTGTTTAGTATTGTTTAGAGTTCTGTTTATTGAGGCAGATATATTTATTTTTGTTGGGACTTCAAGCGTAATTTCAAGTGACCCTCCATTGTCAATATGGCAATGCCAGATTATCAACGGCACCCTGAAAATCTTTGTTTGATATTTATATTAATATATGACGAAGAAATCAATGTTTATAATTTAAAAAACTGATTAATTTCAATTGTAGATTCACTACTGAAGTGACTTGCGCAATTCTGCTCCAGGAAAACAAACAGCACTTATCAGAGTTATAAACACACTATAATGTTTTCTAAAGTATTGATTGATTTGATTTGATAGATCAGACAAATTTTTCAAGGGTACTGTCGTGAATCGGGTATTGCCATCTTTAGAATTCACGTTCACAGTCACTTCAAAGAACGTGTTCGCACAAAATTTAGTTAATTGTTTAACCTGTGCTGATTTTGGAACTTTAATTCAGTAAAAAATACTTTGCAAAAAATCCTTTATAAAGATTGTAATCATGTGAATTGTAGTATTTAACCTCAAAGCTTTGTCAAATATTGAGAGGATTGATAATGCTGAAGATCATTGCTAATGAATGGTTGTTAACTTCATATAACACAGAAGATCTATAATGCTGAAGAGTGAAGATCCCTGTAAATGATTGTTAACTATATATTACAGAAGATCATTTATGCTTAAGATAAAACAAATGATCGTTAACTATATATTTAAGAAGATCATAAATGCTTGAGATAAAAACAAATTATTTTTAAAAATTCATTACAGAAGACCAATAATGCTGGAGATCACTGTAAATGATCGTCTGGGAAAGAAAGTACGAGTGAAATGTAATGAAGATGATACTATCGGAGATCTCAAGAAGCTGGTGGCGGCACAGACAGGAACACGGTAATAATTATTCACACAGAATTAGGTCAATGATCTTTGATCCAAAATGTACCATACTGCATCTTCGATTATAAATTTTAATTCCTGCTCTATCTGTGACATTTTCTGTTCTAAAATTATTTCGTGAATTTACTAACTTGATTCACGGATTTTGAAAAAGCGAAATATTATTACGGCAAATTTTTTTAATTCTGACCATCCGTAAAACTTCATTTGGCTAATGAGATGTCCCACAAAATAATTGGGCCCGATCGGTTCAGCTGTTTTCACGATTATTCTTTTTTAAGTAGTTTAAAAGATTTGAAAAGTTGATTTATTCCGAAAAAGGAGCGTTTAAAATTAAAAATTCATCTTCAGTGAGTATAAATTTTAAAAAATTATTTTAAAAAAACAAATGTTTTGCAATATTTTTTTGGGGATTTTCTTCTATTGTTTCCGTCAAGGTTTACATAAACATGTTAAAGATTAACCTGAACAAAAATGTTTGGGTTTTGTGCTTGTGAAAAAAATACAAACTGTGGAAAATATCGAGGGGAACTGAAAAGCGCAGGCGTGGTTTTAGTTTTGCCAAAGTTAATCAAATGAATTTTACAGAACGTAAGGAACTAGCATTCAATAAAAAACTTCTACTTCTACAATTTTTCTGGGGAAAAAATTTTGTTAGAATATCAATAATAAAATTGTATTTTCTTATAGTAGTACTTGATAAATTAAATTTTAGAATTTATTTATTTTTGTTTTTAGGTGGGATAAAATTGTTCTGAAGAAATGGTACACAATATTCAAGGATCACATAAGGAACACAATCAATCAATCAAATAAAATATATCATGAAAAAGTTATCTTTAATGATTTTCACCTCCTTAGTAACGTGGTTTTACCGAGAACATCAGTTGGTCTGAATTGATAGATTTGGATTATTTCTGATGAAATTAGACTGATCAAGTTATTTTTTTAGAAACTTTTAATTGGATCGATTAATAATCATTCATAGAATTTTTTTCTGGGTGACAAACATTTTTTTATGCAGCCCCCGTTATATAGCTTTTATATCGGATCGGATTGGATTGGATTGGATAGTGAATTTACTCTTAAATGAATTGGGGAGAGGAGTGTTTATTTCTAGTCGATAAAAATTTGGTTGATGTAGACTAGAAGATTACGAGATACATGACGGTATGAATCTGGAGCTGTATTATCAGTAATAATATCAAGTAAATATTTTTATTAATTTGGTAAAGAAAATTACAAAATCACGTTTTTTAGTGAACTGCAAGCATAATTTCATGTGACCCTCCGTTCAAAGATGGCAATGACCGATTAACAACGGTAAACTTGAAAGCATTGTCTGATCATGAATTAGATATCCACGTTTTTTTATTTTAACTGTTCATTTTCATTTGTGGTTTCTCTGCAAAAGAGACTTACTCATTTTATCAGATAATATCAGAGTAAAGCACTTATCAACTCAGAAAAATGACAGTTTCCTCCACATTTTGATGAGATTAAAGTTTCAAGGGTTCCGTTGTATATGGGGCATGGCTATCTTTGTAAAGAGGGTCACTTGAAATTACGTTTACAGTCCCTTTGAGGCGTATTATTAAAGACCAAAGCTCAGGGTAAAAGTTCTGATGGCGGTCTGCTGGGGTTTTTACAGATCCCCCAACCCTATACATCGTCATCAAGAAAAAGGAAAGATTTCGTGTTTCCATTTTTAAAAAAATTTTCCTCATAAGATTACCATATTAGCAAAAGCAAAGTTAGTAGTAATACGACTGAGAAATGATTTTTATATTTCCATCTTCAGAAATATGATACTCAATAAATGGATAATGGATATTTTGAAGAAAATCGAGGAAAAAGACGTCTAAGTACCCCCCCCCCCCCCCCCCTCCCTCTTGAACATGCTACTCCTTAAATGAAGTCACTTAAAAATACGTCCTTTAAATTGATGTCACATTTGTTTGTTTCAGGTGAACTAAGTGATAAAGTTGTAAACAAAGAAAACAATAATCAATCAGATTTTCTTTCTCTCCTTTCAATCCATTTTCAGAATATTTGGTTTTAAATCTGAACTAGTAAATAGAGAAGGTGAACTTAAAACAAATCCTTAACTGTGAGTTGACGTTGATCCTAAGTTGATTTAAGCTTAACTTAACTTAACTAGCTGAGCTTTAGTTTATCAAGTTCCGTCTGCTTAAAGTAAACCTCAAGTGAAAAGTTAAAATTCTGGTGAATTCCTCTCATTTGTTTGGATGAAAATAGAACTTGGAGTTGGAAACTGGTTGATCCAGAACTGAACCTTGAAATCCTGGTAATCTTAAACTTTGAGCTAAAGCCTGCTAATCTTGAACCCTGGAGAATGGTTTTCTCTGGTTTGGTTGAACTGTGTCTCCGAGTAGTGGTTGGAGCTCAGAAACTACATGATCCTCAATCCTTTAAATATCTACCCCGCCATCTTAAGGTTGGTTTTAGTCCGGATTTAAATTTTTCAATGAAAGATAACCTTTAAAGCTTAAGGAGGGAGGGGTAAATAAAATAGAAAAAATATTTAAGAAAATAAAATAATTGTTGAAACCCAATCAATTTCATTCTTTGTTTTGTTAGTTTTTCAGTTTTATTTAATCCATATCTAGTGAACTTAAAAAGACGTTCAACTGTACACAATCGTGTTTTTTTTATGAATTTTGTTAATATTTGTCAAAAGTAAAAATATTTACGTACTTTTTGAACTTTTTTTAACCTCCTTTTCACCCTAACCGTTAAAGATAGGTATAAATTGTTTTACTAGGGATTATGGATATTTATCACACCCTATCTTAACTCTAAGGGCAAAATCATAGGAGAGACAAAACAGCCCAACCGGGATATGGTTTAAAGTAATAAAAATTCTATGAGAAATGTTCCCCCTTTTCCTAAACATTGTTCCCACTGTTCCACTGCTCCCACAAATATATAATAATAATAATAATATAATATCCAACCCTGCTTTCCCTTTTCCCAACCCTGTGAACTTTACTTAATTAAGTAATCCTCTCCTTAACTCTGGGTCAAACATCTTAAACTCTGATATGGATTTTAAATAAAACCCCGATAATAAGATTAAAGTTTAATAAAGAATTTGAGAAATTATCATAAAATGGATAAACTAGGTCAGTTTTATATCATTCTTTTTTTTCCAAGTACAGATAGATATATGGGGGGGGAGGGAATTATTTTTATTCTTTTACTTATCTTATTTTCATATATTGATGTCTAGGACTATATTCGTGAAGTTGTGTTAAAAAGATACAGTGTTACTCCCGCTATTTTAGAATCATTATTGCATAACAGGCAGGAAAATTTATCCTTTATTAAAAAAAAATCGCAATAATATTTTAAGTGTTAAATTTAAATGCGTTCTTTTCATTGGTGCATTCTCATTATATAGTAGATCCTTTTTAGCGACAGATAATATAAATAATTATGATTGAACAAGTCTTCATTTCTAGATTTCTATAATTTTCATTTTGTTTAGTGTTCGTGAGATCAACATGGAGAATCAAGGAATAAATAAATTATAAATAAATCAGAAGAAAATTGATGACAAATTATAGAAATATGATATTCTTTCATTATTCTAAGATTAAACAATAAATAGTTTATTTAACGTTTTAGAAGAATTAACCAATGAACTTGTGACTATGCTAGCCCAAATTAAAACATTCAGGCGAGAAATTAATTTTAGATTTTTCATATTTTTTACTGATGTAATAGACGGAATTAGTGGCCCTACATTTTTATAGAGTTGAATGTCCGATTCACAACGGTACCTTGGTATGATCAAGTTTGAGTAAATTCAAGCTTTGCTTGCTTAGGGTTCTCTTGAAGATGACAAACGGATTTTTGCTACAGGGATTTAAGGAAGCGGTTTTAATTGAACATGCCGATTTCTTCCATAGTAATGGTTTGATGAATTGTTATAGGTTACCTACGTGATTCCTACATGTCACTCAATTAATGGAGGTTCTCCGAAAATTAAGCCTTTCTCTTAGTTTAGAAAAGTTTCTATTAAATAGATACGTTTCAATTATTTATTTATTGTGTTATTTTTTTGGTTCTAAAAAAATATTCATATTCTATGAACTTTAAAATCGTATCGTCCATTTTTTTCTTAAAGGGACTGTAAAGGAAAAATTACAGGTGTTAAAGGCTGAAACCTAACCATTTTAGAAGTTGATCGAGACCCACGAGAGCTCTGTCGGATGTTATTATCTTGAGAAACTGTTAGGAAACTGTGTCAAATTGATACGAAAATCTATATATATCCATTAAATGTTGTATAAAAATAATAGGTTTAAACGGATCATATTCAGCAAATACACAACCAATCTGAAAACAACGATATCCCAGGGAAGCCTAAGAAACTTAGGTTTACCCCTAACATAATTTGAATTTAATAATTTTTCATTTTTAATAGATTTAATTGATAATAAATTTAATTGATTAATAAATACGTCCGTATCATGTGACCAGACCTCCCACTAATGGCAGTGTAGTATCATTAGCACATGACCAGCATACTGCACTGCCATTGGTGGGAATTCTGGTCATGTGAAACGAGTGTATAAATAATCTTATCAATTATATCTTTTATAAATAAAAATTTATTTAGTTTAAATAATAATAGAAGCAAACTTAAGTTACATAGGCTCCTCTGGAATATTGTCGTTTCAGATTGGTTGTGTATATGCTGAATTTGATCCGCTTAAACCTATTATTTTCATACAAAATTTTTTGTATGTAGATTTTCGTATAAATTTGACACAGTTTTATATCCATTTCTTCATGCAGGAACATCTGATAGAACTCTCATGGGTCTCGATCAACTCCTAAAATGGTTAGGTTTCAACCTATACCCCCTGTAAGTTATTCCTTCTTTAAGATATGATTTAAAATTGGATTAAATTGGAAATGTATTTAGGAAAATTAACTTTAACCGGATTGCCCATATTGATAAAAGAACTCACCCCTCTATGCTTGAGAACCCTGAACCAATCCCCTCGACTGTGTCTGCAGAGAGTCTTATTCGGTTAATATCAGGACAAAGATATCTCACCTCTCTCTTTCTCAGAGGTAGGGTTACCAATTTTAGGTGTGTCCTCCTTTAACTAGAAATATCTTATATTCATGTATGAATTAAATGGGTGTTACCGTGATAAATGTTATGAAAAATTTACATTTTACGGAATATCCCCTAAGCACTGAGGCGTTGAGGCGTCTGTTTCAACTTCAACTTGTCATAAACCTTCTCTGGGGTTAGGTAATTTACCACAAAAACTGAGGGACTTTAAGCGTAATTTCAAGTGGGTCCAGGTGCTTTGTTACGGAGCAAAACTAAAACTATTGAGGATCAAATTTTTTCTTTCTCTAACCCATTGTGAATTTTTACATTTGTGCTTTGAGCTTCTACAAACCGACTTTTTAGACGCCCGGTACGGGTCAATCTTTGTATCCTTTGTAGTTTATTCCACCAGGTTTATCCGTGCATTCCACCAGGTTTATCCATAATTTCCACCTGGTTTATCCATTATTTGCACCAGGTTTATCCGTGCATTCCACCAGGTTAATACATGATTTCCACCAGGTTTATCCATGCATTCCACCAGGCTAATCCATGATTTCCACCAGGTTTATCCATGATTTCCACCAGGGTTATCCATGATTTCCACCTTGTTTATCCATGCATTCCACCAGGCTAATCCATGATTTCCACCAGGTTTATCCATGATTTCCACCTTGTTTATCCATGGTTCCCACCAGGTTTATCCATGATTTTCACTTTGTTTATCCATAAATTCCAACTTATTTATCCATGATTTCCACCAGGTTTATCCATGATTTCTACCTTGTTTATCCATAAATTCCACCAGGTTTATCCACGATTTCCACCAGGTTTATCCATGATTTCCACCTGTTATCCATGGTTTCCACCAGGTTTATCCATGATTTCCACCTTGTTATCCATGATTTCCACCTTGTTATCCATGGTTTCCACCAGGTTTATCCATGATTTCCACCAGGTTTATTCATGATTTCCACCAGGTTTATCCATAAATTCCACCAGGATTAACCATGATTTTACACCAGGTTTGTCTGGTTTGAGTGTTGAGCTGTTTACCTGTATATCCAGTAGCTGTCTTCACCTGGCAAATATTGATGTTGGACACTGCCCTGGTCTTGAAGACCAGCATGTTCTTCAGCTTAGGTTAGAAATATAGATGAGGAAAGCAGATGCGTATTCCGGGGGGGGGGGNTACGTCTGCATAGCAGGGGGGGGGGGGGGCCCTGCCTTCATTTTTGGTTCAAATCTTCCAATTTTTTGGGTGCACGCCTAATTAGTGATCGAAATTCCTAAAATAAAATGAAATTGAATTTTAATGTCCTCTAATGACCTCCACAAATAGAAAATATTTCAACTATGGCTTAATGCATATCAAACAAAAGCTAAGAACCCAGGGAATACAGTAGCAGCAACAAATCCAGTATTTGACCTTCTAATGACCTCTTACGACCTCTAATGACCTAAATGACCTCCAAAAATGAAAATGTTTTAGCTATGGCTTTATGCATATCAAACGAAAGCTAGGAGCCCCAGGAATACAGTTGCAGCAACGAATCCAGCGTTTGACGTTCTACTGACCTCTAATGACCTAAATGACCTCCAAAAATGAAAATGTTTTAACTATGCATATCAAGCGAAAGCTAGGAACCATGGGAATGCAGTAGTAGCAACAAATACATCAAATGTGCCAACTCCACCATCCCCTTTAGCATGTTTAAGGGATGAAAACGAAGAATAAGAAAAGTTGTTGAAACTTTCTATTACAATAAGTTTTCTTAACTTAGTATTGATATTGTAAGCATAATGGCAACGCGTATCTTACATGAAGGTTCAATCTTTCTGTCTCTCTTGAATATCTTTAAGAATGGGGTTTGGCTCAATTGGTTTTCAAATTGAACATATTTGTTTATAACTTGTTTTTTCTAATCGTTGAACATCCTTTGCAAAAATTAGGTAATTAGATGAATTTTTATTTTATGAACAGTTCATTTAATGTTTTTATTTTCTAAGGGACTCTTGTAGGATTGAATCCTTGAGTTTGGCAGGACTAGATATAACAGATAGTGCACTTCATGAGTTAGCTAGGTAAACTTCTATACTAGATATACCTCTAAACTAGATATATCAGATAGTGCAATGCAGGAGTTAGCTAGGTAAATTTACACACAAAGTCGCTTTAATCGTTTGAACAATAATTTTTATACAAGTCGATTCTGAAGATCTCTTAGATTTTAATTTTAAAATTGATAACTTTAACTGAAAATTTTATTTGATTACCGGTAGGGACAAGCAAAAAAATGGTTTAATTTTTACGATTCCGGATTCTCAATAAATAAAATTACAAATTAATAAGTACGCAGAATTGGATAGAATCATAAATTGAATCTGTGGTATGTACTATCAACTGGGCGTGTACTGCAATATACATACACCATCAACTGTACGTTAACTGCAGTAAACACATTCAGCTGGAACTATACTGTAGTGTTCACACTCAGTTGGAACTTTTTTATACGCAAACAGCTAAAAGTGTACTACAATGTGAACAATCAACTGGAAGTGTACAGCAGTGTACAAAACGCTCTGGAAGTGTACAGCAAAGTACACAGTCACAGTCAGTTCAAAGTTTACTATAATGTACATCAGCAAGAGGTTTACTGTAGTGAACACAATCAGCTTGAAGTTTACTTCAGTGCGCAAATTCAACTGGTAGTGTACTGTAGTTGACTCAATCAGCTAGAAGTGAATTCTAGTGTACTATCCTGAGTTATTTGAATATTAATATTAAAGGAGTGGGAGTAAGGATACTATAAAAGAACTGGTAGTGTACTGTAGTTGACTCAATCAGCTAGAAGTGAATTCTAGTGTACTATACCTGAGTTATTTGAATTTTATTATTAAAGGAGTGGGAGTAAGGATACTATAAAAGAACTGAGAATAGATGGATGTAAGCACATTACAGATCTGGGTATTCAGGTCAGCCATTTATTCAGGGTGCTTCCCGCCACTCTTTCTATTACTTACAGGACTTCATTGATTTTTTCGACATGTGATACCGTTGAATTCAGGGGCGTACTCAGGAATTTACGGTTTTTTCGAAAACTCGAAAAGTATTGGTCTGAGGTTGTTTAAATTCTTTGACTTTTCTAACTAATGCATGCCTCTCACTTTAGGTTAAACGCCGGGCTTTTATACCTACTGCCTAAGTTCTCAGGCATGCCTTATTTTACCTTCACCAAACTAAATCTATATTAAGATCTATTTCCAATCTTTGGATTTCAACATATTATAACTTTTTTGGAAATCCTTTAACATAAGAAAGCAGATCGCACAAGTTCTGAAAAGAAATTTTGTGTAGATTTTGCACATAAACCTCAGAAGAGAATTTACACAATTTTAGTTTTTCTTAAATTTTAAAAATATTGTAAATATTTTTGAATATTTGAATTAGCTGGGTCAAGGGATTTTTTCAAAAATGTATAATTGTCATATTCTGCACAATTTTTTAAAATATTTTTTTTTGCAAATTTGCATTTTATTTGTTCAGATTATTTATCATCTCAACTTCTTTTTCTGTACGCGTAATTTCAAGTGACCCTCCATGCAAAGATGTCAAATCTAAATGCGCAAGTCGTTGCAGAGAAACTGCAACTAAAAATTGATAGTGTTCAATTACAAAAACGTTGAGTTCTAATTCATGCTTGATTATACAAAGCTTTAAAGGGCACCATTGTAAATCGGGCAGCATGCCATCTTTGTATGGAAGGTCACTTGAAATCATTCTTTTAGTCCCAATAGATTCTCTTGTCTGGATCGTGGCCATGTCTAGGGGGAGTTATAAGATATCATATTTATCCTCTCAACTACTTCTACCTTTTAACCTAAACCCTTTGTGTTTTAGTTTCTTCTTGATGGACTCGGTGCTCTTGAGATTCTCATATTTCATGGTTGTCCTCAGGTAAAATATTTGGTAATTTCCCAGCAAGTAACGCTGCCCCCCCCCCCCCCCCCCCCCCCCCCCGCCATGAATGCGGGATAATTTATTCCCTCGAACATCAGGAAATAATGGTTCCGTATATATTTGGGAAAATTTGAATGATTTTAGAAGGGGAAAAGATGGATCTCGTTTTTTCTTTTTTCTTTGATAATAATAGTTCATTGTTTGGGTTTATTGAATTTCTACAATATTAAATATATGTTTTTATTGCTGAATCTATTTGACGAGAATGCATTACGTCACCAAAAAGTATGAAGTTATCTATTTATGGTTATTCTTCTATCATAATAAATCTATTGTTCTCTAACTATATTCTATACTAGTAATTAACTATTAAATTACTTTAAATGACTGTTGACGTATTTCACCCTAAAGTTAAGTTTATGGTAATATTAAAGGGAAAAGTAAAGTAAAATCAAAGTTAAAAGTAAAAAATCTCTGTCTGTCAATCCCTGAAAAATATGATTTGATAACTTGATTTGATTTGATTTGATTTAATTTCATTTTCTTTTGAAAATGATAGATTAATATCTGGGGTCTGGGTTTATTGAACCTTCATAAAATTAAATATTGGAAAAGCTTTCTTAAGAATAAATCTATTTAATATTATAAATATCTTTCCAAGAAATGTTAGATTAATTTTGTTTTCCAGGTTACCAATAACTCGAGAGTTTCGCTTCAAGTTTATTTATCAACACATAGAAGAAATGTTCGTCAGCTCACATGGACTGTCTATTAATGTTCGTTAACTCACATGGACTATCTGCTGATGTACGTCAACTCACATGGACTTTACTAATGTTCGTTAACTCACGTGGACTGTCTACTAATGTGCGTTAACTAACATGGACTATCTACTGTTTTTCGTTAACTCACATGAACTGTCCACAAATGTTCGTAAACTGGCATGGACTGTATACTAATGTTCGTTCACTCACATGGACTGTCTTCTAATGTTTGTTAACTTCATACATTGTTTTGTGTCGTCGAATGATTGTCACTTAAGACTCGCATCGCAATTTCTGAGACTTGAAGAATGTGTGCAAATATTTAAACCAATTTGGACTATTTTTACCATTTTCGCATTCAGTTTTCACCAATCATTCGTCTTAAACTCGCATCAGATTTTTTTGTATTCACATTTTAATATTTCTAGAACCGTTCAGATTTATTTACAAAATGCTTTAAAAAGTTTTTTATTTGTTTTAAAATGTTCTTTAATTACAATCCAAACCAAATATTCTGTCAAGCATTGAAAAAGATTGGAACATGTTTAATATTGAAACTAACTATCTTTGTAATATTTGTTACCCAACTGCATTTTTGTTTTCAGAATTAGCGTCGTATAAAATGGTTCCACGTAAGCGCAAGGGAGAGAGCGGGGAGGTGTCCAACTACATGACGAGGAAGGCAGCCATGTACAAGCTCCAGCTTAACCTCAAGGATTTCAGGTAGGAAACATCTAGATGTGAATAGGGGCGGGGAGGTCTAAGCCTCCACCTAATAAGGGAAAAATATGATTTTCAGGGTGGATTTAATCATGGATATATAATAGAATGGATACATCATAGTCAAGGTCTGAATTAAATCCCAAACGGGAAGCAACAAAGTAAATATACAGAAATCTGAATGAAAGAAAAAATACATATATACGATGTTTATCACATGAGTGAGTCTATGAGTCTGTGTAAACTAAATACATATATGTTATATATACACACTTACTATTCTAGGCTTCGGTGTATACTAAATACATGTATAATGTATATTGTATATACATTATTACTATTCTAGACTTTTTTCTTTACTAAATACGTATATGATATAAATACATAATTTTATTCTAAATGTCTGTGTATACTAAATACCAAGGGCGTATACAGAAATAAATCTAGGGGGGGGGCAAGATTTGCGCGAAGCGCAAAATTTGTTTTTGCCCCCCCCTAGGAGCTCCTAGGGGGGGGCAAAATTCGAACTGTAAATTCATAACACTTGGCTTCTTGGATATCAGGCATAAGTATAAGATACTTAAAAGGCACACATACAGTCCAAATAATTACCTTCTAAGCACTACTTTATCTCTCCTTCAAACAAAACTAGCAGAAAAAAACATTGTTTTTATCTAAATACATATATAATATATATATACAATAGTCCTGTAGGCGGTCTGGGCTGCCCAAGATGGGGGTTCTTGCAGATCTCATCTCCCATAATCACATAATTTCTATTTTAGGCGTCTGTGTATTTTAAAGGGAGTGTTCCCTCGTGAGCCCAGGAACCGGAAGAAGGTGCAGAAAGGAAACTCTAGGATTCAAACACTCTACTATGAGAAGGTTAGAACATCAGCTTTCCGGGCATCTGGAGCATGGGAGGAATTTATACCACAACAGTGTGTAATCATATCCCCTAGAAGATGGGGATGCATGCCAAAACAATTTGTAATCATATCTCTGCACCTTGTATGCTTTCAATACAGACTATTTCAACTTTTAATTTTTGCTCAATCTTTCAGCATTTTTTTCTTCTGTAAATCAATAATAACAAGTTTTTCGGTTATAAGATGTTTTTTCTTGGATTCGTAAAATTTTACGAAAACTACTTTCTGTAATTCTGAGCGTCCATAAACCTTTCTTGGGGTCATGTGAGTTCCCACTAGAAATTGGGCCTGTTCGGTTCAACCGTTTTAACGTTCATCGGTCACAAAGTATATATATATATAGGAGGTTTCTACTCCATGATTCTCTTAAACCTCTAATATTTTTGATATAATTGTAAAACCTTGTTTATTTAGGATATAAGGTTTCAACTCCATGAATCTGTTAAACCTCTAATGTTTAGGATATAAGGTTTCTACTCCATGAACCTGTTAAACCTCTAATGTTTAGGATATAAGGTTTCTACTCCATGAACCTGTTAAACCTCTAATGTTTAGGATACAAGGTTTCTACTCCATGAACCTGTTAAACCTCTAATGTTTAGGATATAAGGTTTCTACTCCATGAACCTGTTAAACCTCGAATGTTTAGGATATAAGGTTTCTACTCCATGAACCTGTTAAACCTCTAATGTTTAGGATATAAGGTTTCTACTCCATGAACCTGTAGTCTGGAAGTTCAGGGAGTTCAAGGTGTTCCTGAAGAAGCTGAAAAAGGCGCAGGAGAAGCGGAACTGGGAAACTGTGGAGAGATTGAGGGCAAATAAACCTAAATACAGTCTAGGTAAACATTAGGATTATACGTTTTCAAAAAGGATTTCGTTGCTACTGCATATTTTTAAGCTTTTCACTGTTTTTTTAATAGTGAATAAATAACCCCCCCACCCGCCTCCAACAACCAAAAAGGTCCAAAACATACTAATTTTTTATCTGATTTCTGTTCAGCATTTTTTTATCAGATTATTTTTTTTTCTACTCAGAAATGATTAATGATTAGGTAGAAGTAAGCCAATCCCGTTTCCAAAATACTGCTAAGTAAAGTATTAATCATTTAATATGCTTTCTAGATACGTGTTTTCTTCTCTCTACCTTATATGTTCAGAAATGATTTATCTTTAAATGAAGTACTCATCTCAAATTCATCTTTTATAAATATCAATTTATTTTTCAACAGAATCTTATATTCTTTAATTATATTCATTGTTCGTCAATTATTCTTAAAATATACGTACAACACTTCGCTAGAAAACGGATTTAGAAAACAGAGAGAGGAGTAAGTTAACTAGATATAGTAGAACTAGTTTTTGTGCAGTCTTTATTAATTAATTCTAACCTTTTGTCACACTTAACTATTTCAACTCCAACCCCTCTTTTGAAAATGTTTTTTTAGATATGTTTTTAAGGTTTTATTTTTTGAATTTGGAAGATAAATTATTTTAGCGGATAATTACTAGATTTTTGGGTATAAAGTATTAAAAATATTCATTTTCATTTTTTCCAGATCTTCATAAATCATTCTTAAAAATTCTTTAAAATATTCTACCTCAGGCTGCCTGAATAAGTCTTATAGCTACTTAAGGGAACTGTGACTTGTCCGATGAACGGTACCCTTTAAAGCATTATCTGAGTAATCATTAGAAAGGCATCATCGTTTTCTATCTTAAACTGATAATGTTTACAATTTTCTTCGTTGTTTATGCAGCATAACAGTCTGAATGGAAAATAATGAATTTTTAGTTAGGAATTTTTAACAAGGATTACTTCTACATCTTTGATCAGATAAAGATTTAGAAGGTACATTAGACATACCGCTTCACAATACGATTACACTTTACAGTCCCTTCAACTAACTATTTAATTCCATTATATTTTGTTTAGATCACATTGTAAAGGAGAGATATCCCACGTTTATAGATGCTATCCGTGATCTAGAAGATTGTTTGTGTCTTATTTTCCTTTATTCTACATTCCCCAGAACAGCAAGGTAATTGAAATTTGATTGGATCCGTCAACCTGAAGAAAATTGCACGTAAAATTTAAATCTTACACGTTTTTAATCAGGGGGGGGGGGCTATGGGTGCTATCCCCCCTCTCTGGAACAGTGAAATCTATGAATTTCAGGAGTATTTCAGGCCTCAAAGGGTGCTNGGTTGATCTATCTAGAGAAGGCCGGGACAAATTTCTGACTACGCCCCTGAATTTACTTATTACTCCTCTTATTAAATCACTAATAAGAAAACCCATTTTTTTTAATCTTTATATGCAAACAGATAAATTTGTTTTTCCCATACGTGTGCGGAAAATCAGAGTTAGAAGAGCTAATTGGTCACAATGTCGTACAAGTAACATCCCATTTTACCCTTTTCTGTCTAGTTTGCACGTGGATGATAGTTTACGCACAATGACTAAATTATGACCGTGAATATTACAATGACTATGACCACAAATATGATATGCCAATTGCTTCAATATTACAATGACTATAATATGACCGTAAATATGATATGACAATGACTACAACATAACAGTGAATATGATAAGACAATGACTACAATATAACAGTGAATATGATATGACAATGACTACAATATAACAGTGAATATGATACGACATTGACAACAATATGAACGTGATTATGATATGACAATTACTAGAATATGACAATGACTACAATATGACAATGACTACAATATTACAATGACTATAATAGAACAGTGAATATTTGACAATGACTACAATATTACAATGACTATAATATAACGGTGAATATGATATGACAATGACTACAATATTAAAATGACTATAATATAACAGTGAATATGATATGACAATGACTACAATACGAGTCTGGGGATGCACGATGGCCATGGTTTTTAAAAACAGTTGTAAAACGCAATCATTGCTTTTTGGTGCCAATTTTTGAAAACATCAACATACATCTAATTAAATGAATTTGACTGTTTTTTATATTTATTTTTCTAGAACCCCAGTGGAGATGGTGGATCTGTGTAAACGGTTGAGTGTAGAGTTTATGCATTTCGTTATAGAATCTCGAGCTCTTAGGAAGGTTTTCTGCTCCATCAAGGGATATTACTTTCAGGCAGACATCAAGGTAACAATAATCAAGAAGAGAGAGGTGGTGGTGTCTTAAAAGCATTGAAGTCTTGACGTTTCATTGACTTTTCAAGAATCAGAGAGTTAATCAGATGGTAAAGCTTTTATCAGAAACATTTATTAAACGCCTCATTTTCATTTTTACTTATGGCATTTGATGGTATGTTAGAGTAATTTTTCCACAATAAATTTTATGAAACAAAAAATATCAAGTCAGATATCAAAATTATTTTCCCTACGGAACAAAAATAAAAATAAGTCACTTAAGGATTTGGAGATGGAAGTAGGACTTCCCGAAATCCCTGATTTGATTTGATCTTATTTGAGTTGTTTTTAGGGTCAGACTATTACCTGGATAGTGCCACACAATTTCGGATATCAGAACCCTGCAACAGTCGACATGAAGCTCATGTCCGTATTCGTCGAATTCTACACAACAATGCTGGGATTCATCAACTTCAGGTAAAAGGAGTAGAATGAGGGAGGGGCAGAAACCATGCTGGGATACATCAACTGGTAGGTTCAACCGTTTTTACGTTATTCTATTCACAAAATTATATTATATTTAGATTGTATAATAGCATAAACTTGACCTACCCCCCTGTATTGGCTGGTATGGCGGCGGAGAGCGCCCAGGATGACAGCTGTATCGCAGCACTTAACCAATCTCTCAAGAGAACAGTACTTCCCGATGAGGTAGGTCTAGTGAATTTTGGTCTATCTAGAGAAAGTTTGTCTTTCTAGAGAAGGTTGGTGAGAAGGTTAGTCTATCTAGAGAAGGTTAATCTATCTAGAAAAGGTTTGTAGAAATCTAGAGACGGTTGGTATATCTAGAGAAGGTTGATCTATCTAGAGAATGTTGATCTATCTAGAGAAGGTTGGTATATCTAGAGAAGGTTGGTATATCTAGAGAAGGTTGGTATATCTAAAGAAGGTTAGTCTATCTAGAGAAGGTTTGTATATCTAGAAAAGGTTTGTATATCTAGAGATAGTTTGTATATCTAGAGAAGGTTGGTAGATATCTAAAGAAGGTTAGTCTATCTAGAGAAAGCTGATCTATCTCGAGAAAGTTGTTATATCTAGAGAAGGTTGGTATATCTAGAGAAGGTTGATCTATCTAGAGAAGGTTGGTAGATATCTAGAGACGGTTGGTATATCTAGAGAAAGCTTATCTATCTAGAGAAAGTTGCTATATCTAGAGAAGGTTGGTATATCTAGAGAAGGTTAGTCTTTCTAGAGAACGTTAGTCTATCTAGAGAAGGTTGATCAATCTAGAGAAGGTTGGTAGATATCTAGAGAAGGTTAGTATATCTAGAGAAAGCTGATCAATCTAGAGAAAGTTGCTATATCTAGAGAAGGTTGGTATATCTAGAGAAGGTTAGTCTTTCTAGAGAAGGTTAGTCTATCTAGAGAAGGTTGATCTATCTAGAGAAGGTTGGTAGATATCTAGAGAAGGTTAGTCTATCTAGAGAAAGCTGATCAATCTAGAGAAAGTTGATCTATCTAGAGAAAGTTGATCTATCTAGAGAAGGTTGATCTATCTAGAGAAGGTTGATCTGTCTTAAGAAGGTTGATCAATCTAAATAAATATATGCAAAAGCAACCCCAAAACGCTGTCGTGACTATTGTTTTTGAATCGTTCTTCCATATATTTAGGATAAAAATCTTGGAAGTAATATTAAATTTTTTTTTCCAAAATTATAATTATTCAATCTACAATCTTTATCTACTTATTAACCTACCTACACAGTACATCTCCCATACCATATTCAAATATTTCAAACATGTTGCCTATTCGTGCATTCTTCAGAAATCTTTTGATTATTTGCTGTTGGATAATTATCTTGTAACACAAAATACATTCATGTAAAAGAAAAATAAGTTAATAAATATTTTGGTAAAAATGTTTCCATTCTTATTTTATTTATGTTTTGACAAATATGATTTGAATTTTTTTTTTATTTATTAAGATTTTTATATTTTTATAATTCTGACTTTTTTTGATTATAAGATCGAAGTAAAAATCTTAGTGAAAATCTCATAAAGAAATCTTCCTGCTATTGTTATTGTTGTTTTTCTTATAATTATTCTAGTATTGTTATTAATAACAAAATATTATTAATATTATTATTTGAAAGATTCCTGAACTTGACAATATCCCCATGAGTGATGACAGTGAGGCGGTTGAGGCTGCCAGGAAGGAAGCGGAGGCCGTGGAGAACCAATCTAAGCTCTTCGTTGGCCTCAAGTTCTTTTTGGGACGTGAGGTAAACAATCAATTTCATTATTATTTAGAATTTTGCATCTGCATTAAAAATGGATTCTGTTAATCATGATAATGCAAATAATTGTTGAAAAAAAAATAAGAGAATTTCCTGATATTGCAGTTTTTAATTATCTGATTTTGTTATGTTGTTTAACAAGAACTTGGAAAATAAGAATTTCTGTTTTATTATCCTTTTCTTTTATAATAAATTGCCATTGTCTTTTAATCAAATTTATCTGCAGTTTTTTCTTCTCATTTTACAAAATTCAATTTCTGAGAAAAGGTTAAGTAATTAAATCTTTTTAATTAAAGGTTTACACTTAATTAATTTAAGAGAGTGACTTATCAAAAGAGAATTAATTAGTGTTTTTCATGAAAATAATATTAGGGTTTTTTTTCTTTTTAAGAAGGAAACTACTCCTACAGCATTTTCTAATATCAGGGGGGAGGGCAAAAATATGAGCTTTTATTGTGTTTGGGGGGAAATATAAAGTAAAGAGGGAGAAAGGAAGGGGAAAGGGAAGGGGCAAGGAAAAATGGGCAAAAGGGAAGTGGGAAGGGAAAAGTTGGAAGAGAAAAGGAAGAATAAGGAAAAAGTGGAAAAATATAATACAAAATGATGATGTAAGTAAAGTAAAATAAACATATTTCTTTTCGTTTGCATCTCACCAAAAAAACTAAATCAGAAATTCTGTAGGGGGGACCTTTCATTGACCTTTTTACGACACCAAAACATTCCATTATTTTACTAAAGTCAACAAAAAAATCTCTGCAACAGGGGCTCTGCCCCCCCCCCCTCTTTAGAAACCTAGAAAAATATTAGTCTTACAACTAATATACACCCCTCCTGATTTTATAGGGTGTACTGTCCACTGTACAGCCTTAAATGGTGACTTTTAAATCGTCTTTTCAATTTTCAAACAATAATGCCTTTTAACATAATTCTGGGATTTCCAAAATGTAATCTGTTCGTATTTTCAATTCAAAAAAATTACCAATAACTAAACTTTTGACATTTTCTTGATATTTACAATAAACATCAATTTTGCTTCCCTCGTATTCAAACGCCTTTTTTCAAAGGTGCTATGGAAACGTCTCACCGCGGAAATGCCTCAAAAAAAAGGAAACCCCTTAAAAGTAGTTTTTTGAGTTGTTTCCGTGATTTCTCTTTATTTTGAGGCGTGTCTGCTTTTTAGCTGAAAAATATTTGAAAGGGATTTTCCAATATTTTTGAGGCGTTTCCGCAAAACTTGTTAGGTGTTTCCGTATATTTTGAAACTCTATTTAGTTGAGGTGTTTCCTCTTTTTTTGAGGAGTTTCCGCAAAAATTTTGAGGTTTCCGTATTTTGAACAACTTTTGAGGTGTTTCCTCTATTTTTTTTAAGGCGTTTTCGCAAAAGTTTTGAGGTGTTTCCGTATTTTTAAAAACTTCATTTGGTTGAGGTGTATCCTCTTCTTTTGAGACGTTTCGCAAAATTTTTGAGGCATTTCCGTACTTTTTAAAGTTCTATTTAGTTGAAGTGTTTCCTCTTTTTTGGAGGCACAAAATCTTCTAGGGGTGTGCAGTGTGCACAAACAAATGAAGGTGCCCCCCATACACTAAAGCTCTTGTACAAGAAAAGAGAAAACACCCCAACTAAATTAAATTTTTGAAGTTTTTTTTATAAAAATAAACGACTCCACTAAATAAAGTCTTAGATTTTTTTTTTTAAACGGAAACGATTAAAAAATATGAGGAAACGCCTCAAAAAAAGGGAACACCTCAACTAAATAAAGTTTTTAATTTTTTTGGAAAAACGAAAACGCATTTAAAAATATGCGGAAACGTCTCAAAAAAAGGAGGAAACGCCTCAACTTGATGCAGTTTAAAAAAAAATTTTACGGAAACGCCTTGAAAAAAAAAGAGGAAACACCTCAACTATAAACATTGGGAAACGATTCAAAAATATTCGGAAATCCCTCACCATTTTCCCGTTTTGAGGAATTTCCCAAAATAAAACGGAAATTCCTCATAAGTGGTTTTTGAGGCATTTCCGGGTGAGACGTTTCCTCACAGTGAGGCGTTTCCTTATCACCTTTTCAAATTAGATGTCTCTTTGATAAATTGAGAATTGCATGGGTGTCTGTATATTTTTAAGAATTTTTAAGAATGTTTTTAAGATCTAGGAGAGGGGGAATGAAAGATTGGACATGTATAGGCAGGTTTTTCAAACTTAAGGGGCAAGGTAGGCCGTTTGGTCCATGGATATACTTCATGCGGTGGCAAGGAGCGTCGATCCTTTTCTCATTGAATGATGGGTTGTCTGCTAATTATAATAATAATAATACCAATCATATATTTTTGGTCCACAATTCAGCAAATAAACCCCTAAAATTATTTTATTCTTTCTTCAGGTTCCCCGGGAGCCCCTCGTCTTCATGATCCGAAGCATGGGAGGCGAGGTTAGTTGGTGCGCAACCACCGCACCTGGTTCTTCATACACGGAGGAAGACGACAGAGTTACTCATCAGATTTCTGACAGGTAAAATGCGGGAATCTTTCAATCTAAAACTTACGTAAGACCCTCTTTCACCAAATAAGTTGCATGGAAAACCCTTACTTGCCATAATAATATTTGGTTCGGCGAATTTTTCCAGACAAAAACGTTTTTCTATTCTGAGGTATTCATCCCAAATGTGTTCCTGAAAACTTTTTCGCTTAATTTCTTGCAAATATTAGATTTTACAATTTAACGTAACTTTCTCCTCATGATTTGTATTTTTTTGTGTTCGTAAATATTGTCTCTTGATTACTGTGCTGGAAACTTTTGTCTTGGATATCCTTAATTCTGTTAGCTTAGTCTCTATATCCTTTGTGCACACTTATATTGCAATCTACAGATTAACAAAATGAGGAGATTAATCATTGATCTCGATATTCACAATACAAGAGTTTCCAGTCCAGCTCTGGTTTTCTGTATTCAGAGCTAAAAACTTTTGAATTTTGGATACCCTTAATCCTGATTAATAAAGCGCTGTATCCACTGTCGACACTACTGGTTTTATGCTTAATCATCTCTTTTGTATTTCCCTGCTGGATTGCAACCAATGATTAAACATTTATCTCGATATCCACAATTCTAAAGTTTTCCGCTCAGGTTACTTAATATTGTTCCTTTGAAACCATAAATAAATAATTAGAACACAATAAAAGGGACCAGAAAATATTCGTCTTTCTTTCTTCCAATAAGGAAGGACCGCGTAGAATTTAAAATGCACTTGACTTTAATACATAAAATATTTTTCTCTTTTTGAAGGATTTTCGACTTTTTCAAAAAGATTTGCGTTTTGTGTTTTGGTTTACTTTTGCAACAAAAAAATTGGAATTTCAGAGACTGCAACAAATCAAAAATCTCTTTCAATTTAATTGGATTTAATAGTTTTCAATCTAGGGAGAGTATATCGAATAAGAAGCTTGGAAGGTTCTATGTCCAACCTCAATGGATCTTTGATTCTATAAACCGTAGGAGTAAACTCAACGAGAAAGATTATGCTTTAGGTAATATTTTTTAATTAAATTTGAACCGTTTATAAATTTTTGTTTATTTATTCTTATATATTTTTGATCTTTTTTAAAATTATGGATTTTTCGTCTGATTATGATCAATTGAATTTTTTTGCGTTTTCTCTGTAAAAGTGACTTATGAACGATATTTCGATGATTGATAATTTTTAAATTGTGAGGTCTCACGCTCAAAGAAACTGAGATTTGTCACACAATCTGAGTTTGTAATCCCTATATCTTAGCAAACCCGAAGTCGTGGACCTTTGATATTTAAACTATGAATTATGTTAGATCAAATACTCTAATTTAGACAAATCTATTTCCACCACTAGGTTGCAAAGATATAGGAATTACAAGATTTGAGTTTGTTGCAAGAACTCATTTCCTTTTTCACAATCGGTTCAGTTCAGCCGCTTCAAAAATATTTAAGAATAACATGAATATTTTCCAGGGGAAACTTTACCTCCTCATCTCTCTCCGTTCATGGCGGAGAGAAGAATCGGAGACTATATGCCACCAGAGGAGAAGGCTCTCCTAGAGGGAGACAAGGGAAAAGAAGAAGAGGAGGATGAGGAGGTCGGAGAAGAAGAAGAAGAGGAAGAGGAAGATGATGATAATGATCAGAGTGAAGATGATGATGGGGAGGAGGAGGCGGAGGCAGGTACCAAGGTTACCCCTGGTAAACGTGAGAAGAAGGATAAGGAACATGAACGAAGGATGCAGGAGGATGAAGAATACAGGTAAATTATTTATTAAAAAAACAAATCGTTTAAAAATTATGTTTATAATTCGAATCATTTGGATTCGAAGAAACCAATTAGATCCCTGATTAAAAACTTAAAAATGTGCAGATCCAATTGACACAGCTTTCATTGATTGTTAAGATTAGTATTTAGATTATCAAAGAATCTTTATATTTGCGCAAATTATCCGGAAGCTAAAACTGCGACTGAACTTTATATCCACAGCATTAACTTTTAAACGAACGGATTTAAGTATTTTATGCCGGCCAAATACGGGCAAATGCCCGATTCACAATGGTACCATTAGCATCTTTGTCTGAGCAAGTATAAAATAAACTTCAATATTTATAATTTTGAAAGCAGACATTTTAAAATGTGGTTTTTCTACAAATATGACTTGCGCTTTTCTACATCAGGAAAAGATATATGAATTATTCTCATTAAACACATGAATCTAGAGAAATGCATATATCCTCCACATTATTGATCTGATAAAGGTTTCAAGGGTACTGTTAGGAATCGGGTATATGATTCGGTCATTCATCACGCTTATGTTTCCTTTAAGGTTAAACCGCAAGAGTGGGCGGGCATCGGGCAAACTATTTTGTACTGAACAGATTTGAAATATAAAAGTTTGAATCTCTTTTTGAAATGATTTTGTATCCTAGGCTACGGGTGATGATGGTGCAGAGGAAGCACCAGGGCCTGTACAAGTCAATGATGAAGAACAGGAAGAAGAGAGTGAACGAGTCCAAGAACTTGGAGAAGAAGAGGAAGGCGTGGGACGAGGAGAATAAACCAGCCAAGAAAACGAAAAAGGCCTAAATTTGTTCTCTAAATTTCCCTATTTTTTCAGAAAATATGAAAATATGATCAAATAACGAAATCATGAAATGTAAAGACTGAAGAAACAATGCGTAAGTAATTCATTCAAATTTTAAATGGTACCTTAAAGTTTGGTTTTTTTATTACACAAAATCCACAAAATATGAGACTTTAAAAAATCTTTAAGTTAAACGATTGGTAAGGTCATATTTCTTATTCTTTCTTTAAGAAAGTCTCGGTAGTCTCGTCTTTTTTGAGTATCTCTGTATTTTAGCGTAAAAAATGATTTTATTCTGCAAAATTTCAAAAACATTTTACGTTAATATTTAGTTAAGGTTTAAAAAAGTACTACATCAGGATTAATTTCGAAGTTTATATTATAACCTAAAAACTTTTATAAATAAACTTTTTTTTCAGGAATTTCTATTGAGGTTTTGCACCTGGAAGAAAATGTGTTATGCTATATTTGTTTTTATATCTAAATCTAAGAATAAAATTGAAATAAGTTATTTGTTAAATATAAATCAATTCTAGAGAAAGTGAACTTTATTAGATCTGCTTTTTTAAATAGCAAAATTTTAAAAATTGAGGGGAAATAATGTTTTGTACAAAAAATCTCTTAAAAAGAATATTCACCCAATCAACTAATTTTTCTTAATAGCTCTTAATCTAATTTCTGTTATTCATAGTAATAATGCCATAATTTTGACGATCAATGAACAAATCAGACCATAAAAGGAACCGGTGAGATGGAATTTAAAGAATTTGAGCCGCGGTTTAAATCTGCCAAAACCCGGTTTAAATTAAGCGCCGGCTTAAATCTTGAAACATTTGATACAATTTTAAGTGGAACCAACCATATTTAAGCCGCGGCTTAAATTTAAACCGCCGCTCAAATTCTTTAAATTCGGCCACTGCTGATGTAATTTCATTAAAAACGGGTTAATCTTATTTGTGGCAGATCGAAATCTACAACAAATGCTTTGCATAAAAATTTTGCTTTCATAATCAAATCTCATTTTTATGTCACTTCGGAGGAGGAGGAGAGAGAGAACCTCGGGAGATCCATAAAATAAAATAATGTTAATGTTTACTGTAAAATTTTATGTTTCAGTGGTGGCTGGGAAACATTTTGGTAATAAAATTTCTTTCATCGAATTTTTCAAAAAATATTAAACTTGTGCCAAAGGCAGGTTATAAAGCCATTTGATTCCTACATGTACACCAAACTCAAGTCGGCCAGTTCGTTCACTCAAAATGTTTAAAAAAGATATCCCAGTTTTTCGCAATATTGCAAATTTGTAAGTGTTAAATATGTTTTTAAGTTGTTAATTTCTTTCATTAATTTGTTCTCAAAAAACTCTAGGATGGCCATTGTAGCATTTGAGATTTTATCAACATGCTTTTAGAAAATAGAGAATTGCGTAAACAAATGGTTTATATATGATGGTTGGGTTTCGTCACATGTTTTAAGGATACAGGTCTTCTGAAGGATCAAGGAGATGATGTCCTTCAGATATCATAGGGTTGATAATCCTAAGCCTAAAAACTCTACAGAAGAAAATCTGAGGCAGTAGAAACTTCGGATTGTATAATGCTTAACTAAAATCTAAATAATTACAGAATACAAATATAGTGTTTAATACCATTAAAGTATCTGTAACCTGATACCCGCACTGAAAGGTTTTTTATTTATTTTTTCAAAAAGAATTGAAAAAAGTTTAATCTCGATGTTGTTCTTCATATTTAATTTTATATACATGTCTAAAAAATACTTGTGTTCATTAATTAACCCCCTGCATTTTAGTATATCGTTAAGGGATCAAGAATATAGAGAGAAGACCCAAGTGTTGTTTCAAGGGGAAGAGAGAATTAATAGGTCTTTGTATAGCTCAAAATCCACCTTGGATATATTTCGAGATCCAAGGGAGAAATATCTCAGTAACATAATATTTCGTAATCGTTCTTCGAAATTTTTAATTTTTTATTTACGCAGTTGGTTTCTGAATTGCTTGGTATATCGTAATAATTAGCTTTTCTTGGTTCTCACGCACGGTAGTTAGAGGGACTAAAGTTTAAATCACTTTATTTTAAAAGAAAATTCGGGAAGTTGCCGCTTGGGAAAGTACCTAACATCTAAGGAAAGAGATGGGAGAGATGGTATATATTACTAATAGTCTTCTCTAAAGTCTTTCCTTGTGGGAAACCCTGTACAGTGTACACAAGTCACTTTACTTAACTTTTTAAACTAAGCTAAAAACATTTTTGTGGTACTTACGAGTTCCTCGTTTTGTTTTTGGCGAAATTTGTACAAGAAATTTACACATTCATAGTTCAAACAGCTTTTTGTTGGATTTTACTAAATTAAAGAAACTCTGGACCATTCAACTGCTTTTTCAACATCCTAATAGATTATAAAATAATTTGACAAATACGTTCTTCCAAATCAAATTAAGAGAATTAAATATAAATTTTTCTAGTTTTAAAACAAACGGGGAGACAAATGTAAACGTGGATTTGCGAGGCATGGGCAGTCAAGAAACAGTTTTAAAGCTCCGGAACAAATGTAGGTAGTGAGGCAGTGACCAAAAAGTAAAATTTTCTGCTCACTGACTCACTACCCTCAGTTTACATTCGGTCCGAGAGTTTAAAACTTTAAAAATTTAATTTCTGCTCACGTCCAATAGTTTACATTTGTCCCGAAGTTTAAATCCTTGAAAATAAACGTTATTTCAGCTCATCTTCCTCACTATCCTTAATATTTTAGATATAGTTCTATTTTTGACAAATGTTCAAAACACCTAAAAAATTAGCATCTAAATGTTCAAAACACCTAAGCTTCAAAAGGAACAAATGTCCATACACCCAACGTTTTAACACCTTGTTTTCTAAACACCCAAAGATACATAACACCAAAATTTTATTTCAGGGTCAAAAACACCTATATTTCATTTAAAGTTAAGAACGCCTAAATGTTAACAATTTTAAATTATTATTTAAATTCAATCATAATTAAATGTAATCTTGAACGTTTAAAGCTTTGGGACTGTGATCAATCCCAGTTAACATCTGAGGCTAAGCTAGGAATTTAGAAATTATTTATAATTAAAGGGACTGTAGAGTGTAGACTCTCTTAATACATATTGAATTCTTAAAACAATGTTTTATGTCTCTGCTGCAAACCTACAAATTATATATAATCTTCTAAAGGCATTTCTGTGTTTAATAATATTACAAAAGGAGTAGATGCTCTGCATATCAAGTTAACTTAATAGAATAGTCTAATCAGTTACTGCGCATGAGCTTTATCTAAAATATTGATTTTACAACTTTATTTTATGAAAACATTGTTAGACAACTAAGTGGTTGGTAGACCATTCTATTAAGTCTAAATTTTAGAACCATTTCAGAGAATCTTGTAGGCAAAATTATCCAAAAGTTGTTCAACAATTACGGGAAACTTTTGATCATCCCAATACCGAGTCAGCTGAACAAACTTTTATCTGGTTGGGTAAATTCAAAAAGATTTTGAACTCTATGAACAAGCGACATCATCATTTCTTTTTGCATTGTCTTGTGATTGCAGCCGTATATAAACTGGTATATATTTCTTATATAAGTCTATGCATCCTATGCAGCCATATATAAACTTGTATATATTTCTTATATACATCTATGCATCCTATGCTTTATGGTATATATGAATATATGACGTTAACGATATATAAAATGTATATAAACTATGCATCTATGCATCCTATGCATTTAAAAAAGGGTATTATTATTCCTATGGTCTCATATTAGACCTCTAATGAAGTTTGTTGATTCTTTTCGAAAATGAAATTTAGGTGTTATTTTATCTGTAAATGAAAATTATGTGTTTTTACCATTAAATGAAATTTTTGAAAATTTAGGTGTTTTGAAGTGCAGTGGGTGATTTGTTTTTTGGTGTTTTGAACCCACTCCCTCCTTCCGAAATACACTGACGGATGTTATGTTGTAGCCTAGCAGGAGGGGTGGTGGCGGGCCCAGAAAAATTAAACTAAAGGCCGAAATTTGCAATAACAAAAAACTACGTTTAAGTTCTAGTAACTTATTAGCCACTTATTAAGTGAAAAGAAACTATTTTCGCAGACACTGCACAATTGCTTTGTCTCATGTTCAATGTTCATTGGACTGTTTAACTTATTGTAAATTTTGTCTTCTTATTCCACAGTTTTTTGGTTCTCACTGTAAAACAAAAACTATTTTGTCCTATAATTTTAAGACTTCTGCATCAGCATATGTATCTATAAATAGTAAATTCTCATTAAAAAGCTTATAATTTATTTAAGAATTTCCTTGATATGTTTTAGTAAGGGAAGATTCAGTATAAAGAACTTTACCTTAATGATCAATAATAGCGGGTGTCCCAATAAATATGGGAATTAAGTGACACGATTTTTATAAAGAAGTATCGTTCTTTAAATCCACTTTGCTATTTTACATGAACACTACGGCACGAATAAGCTTGTCAAACTCCTCGACGCGTCAACCCTGCATCAGTATTTACCGGAGAAAGGTTACCCGATCTGTGATTTAACCCTATTTCTCAATTTTCTGGTAGAATAAGTGCGGTATTTGGGCGTAGTTATGCTTAGATTTTCAGGAAAAATACAAATAACTCACTATAATTAAACACAAATTGTTTGAAAAAAAATCATTCTAATGTTTGAAGATATTTGAGTAAGAAACCGAAGAAAAATATGGAACTGATTCATCATTGCCTCAGATACACAGGTTTCTTTAAAGTATATCAAATTGCTGTATTTGGTCATATATTTCACTTATGTTGGTTATAAATTGCGGTATTTGGTAAGTGTTAAACTTTTATTATTTTACACTTTTTAAAGCTAGTACAATAAAAATGTTTTATAAAAAAACTATTTTTCGTGAGTCTATTCCTAACAAAAACGCTTAAATTATTTCTCATTTAAAAAAGACACGAACAAAAATAACACCAAAAACCGACGAGAATCAATTTTTGAACAAATTTAACTTATTTGATTTACTTTTATATTCACCCAAGCACCAATAAAAGTTAAAAACCTTTTCTCCGATAAAAATCTTTCTTCCTCTTATTATTGAGGATCATCAAGCTGCTCAGCGAAGAGAAAATCATCAAGATGCTCAGCGAAAGGAGGTTCATCAAGCTGCTCAGCAAGGAGAAGAACATCAAGCTGCTCAGCAAGGAGGAGAAAATCAAGCTCTCAGTAAGGGGGGGGGGTCATCAAGCTGCTCAGAGTGTTCAGTTCTCTTGAAAACAGTTCCTGGCATTTTTTTTGAGTTGGTCGAGAGCTTGTTTATTCCAAGGAAACAATCCAGTTCTTGTAGAGCATTGTCATCCCTGAGAACTTTTCAGTGGCTTCCCATATAAAATGTTTTATTTCAACCTTTGTGCAATTCTTACAATTATGAAACTTTAGGAACTTCTAAAGATCTATATGGAGCAACTACTAGGGGAAATTTTTATTTTAAAACGACCAATAAACCCTATAGCAAGCTTCAAATCAAATCAAATCAAATCATTTATTACACAAAGATTAAAATTTATACAATATAAATATCACATAAAAAAGTATAATCCTCGTGAGGGAAAATTAATCTGGGGGGGCCAGGTTTTCATAATTTTACCTATAGCTTAGTGACAGTAGGGGGGGGAACTGGACGAAAGGACGAGTAGGAGGGGTGTCAGAAAATATAAATTAACATGATAATAAACAATATATTGCTCAGCTCCATCAAACCAATACAGTAACAAACATTACAAATATTTAATTAAGCAAAATCAAAATTATTGAAATGTTTGAAGGAACACATATCCCATTTTTAATACTGCAAGGAGATAATGTATATCAGAATATACATGAAATTCAAGTTTTTAAGTTTAGGTGAAGAAAGAGATGTACATACATGAATGGTTGGAATTTTAAAATCTAATTATCTAGTGTTTAAACAACAAAGACACAATAGCCTTTCACAAAAGAACCCCTGTAATTTATCAATAAGATAGGCTTTAGAGGCAGATTTAAAAATATTTTTAGATTTAGACTGCTTAATTTCAACAGGAAAATTATTCCGTGCGGAAGGAACAGACACAAAGGGGAATCTTCTAAGAAATTCAGATCTGACTCCGGGTACAAAATAATCATTAGCATTTCTAAGTCCTGGATTCAACCCTCGTTCAGAGTTTTGTAAAAAATAATCCTGGAAGGAATTAGGTAAGATATTTCTATCATAAGAAAACATAAAAATCATATTTTGCTGTAGAATTAGATCATCAAGGGGCAGAATATTCAGCTTAAAGAACAAGGGTTGAGTATGGGCGTTATATTTAGCATTGCAGATAATTCTCACAGCTTGCTTTTGTTTAGTACGGATAAAGTTAAGATTCTTGCTACTAGTACAACTATAGACAGGAAGACAATAAAGTAAGTGAGGGTGGAAAAGAGCATAAAGACTTTAAACCTGAGAGAGAGAGAACGTTTTTAGCATTTCTCATCATGTAGAGAGACCGATTAAGTTTAGAGATTAATTGGCTGATATGAAAATCAAATGACAAGTTTTCGTCAAAATACACACCAAGAACTTTGTATGCACGAACTTTAGACGAGTTTAGTATACGTTCAATTGGATAAATTAGATCAGGATTTTCAGGTTTATCGATGTCATTATTATTAAAGAAAAAATCTACATCAGGAACGAACTTGTTCTTTGGATGGAAGATCATTATTTTAGTTTTAGAAGCATTTATTGAAAGTTTATTAGCTCTGAGCCAGGTTCCCATTTTTTGCAATTCAAGGTTTATAACAGAAGCTAGGTCAGCAATATTGGGACCTCTAACTAAACCAGTTGTATCATCTGCGAACAGTATATTGAGTAATGAATTAGATAAAGGAATATCATTGATGAAAAGTAAAAATAGAATAGGACCCAGGATTGAACCTTGAAGAACAGGCATGATAATACTACAGTAGAATTCAGAGAAAACTCCGTTAACCATAACAACTTATTTCCTGTTCTTTAAATAACTCTCAAACCATTTAAGATGGATCCCGCGAATGCCTAGCTTTTCAAGTTTTAGAAGCAGTATATCATGATTAACTAAGTCGAACGCTTTTTGTAGATCCAGAAAAATGGCAACTGCAAAATCGTTCTCATTCAGAGCTTCAGTTATAAATTTCAGGATATGCATGAGAGGGTGTAAAGTAGAAAGTTTAGATTGAAATCCAAATTGAAATTTATAAATAATAGAATTAAGGTTTAGGAAATTATTTAGTTGAGAAACAACAATTTTTTCAAGAATTTTACTCAGAGTAGGAAGGCAGGATATGGGAGGAAAATTACTCAAATTATCAATGGCACCAGCTTTAAATATAGGTACAACACGGGCTAGTTTATAAGAGTTAGGAAAAATGCCAGACTTAAGAGACAAGTTAAATATATGAGACAAGTCCTTCACTGAATTGAATTCTTGTTTATGCTTTTTTATTATTGCAGCCGTCAGTTTCTCTTCAAACTATTCCTAAACATACATTTTTTTATATGCCTCACTTTTATTTTTTTTCAGTTTCCTGGACGACGGGAGTGATTGGTGGTGGCGGATGGAAGTTTTTATCAGGATTTAATTATGATTATTAATAATTTATTGATTAGCTCATTAAACGATGATAGGAAATATAGTCTCACTGCAAACATTTCAAATGATTTTAATTTTACTGACAATAGTTCGAACCTAAAAGATAATCCTTATGATCATATTGATCTTAATTGTTCTTATTATGACTCGGTTAGTTTTGGGGAGAAATACTCGAACAATAAAGGTTCTTTAGTTCTGAACTTTAATATTAGAAGCCTCTCGGCCAATTTCGGTGAATTTAGTGATTACATATATGAATTGGAAAATCTGAATACTTTTTTTGATTTAATTGCCATTCAAGAGACTTGGCAGGTTCCTTATCCTGAATTGTTTACTCTTACGGGGTTCCAAAAACTTGTTGGCAAATTCAGATCTAATTCTGAGGGTGGCGGAATATGTTTCTTTATACGCCAAGGTCTAAAATATAAAATAATTGATCAATTCTCAACCTTTTCCGAGCATTGTTTTGAATCTCTTTGTGTTGAATTTGAATACCCTACGGGTAAGAAAATTAACTTTATCTCTCTTTATAGGCCTCCGGGCAACCACCCGTTTTTATCGCAAACTAATCAACTAATTGAGTTTTTAGATATTTTTTCAAACCTTACCTCAGTTATAGCCAATTTAAATTCAGATTTTTTTTTATCCTAACCGACAGTAATCTTGACCTCCTGAAAATTCCCTATAGTCCAAGAATTAAAGAATTTTTTGAAACTGCTCTTGGTAATGGTTTTCTTAATGTCATTACAAAGTCAACCCATTTTACTAATTCCAATTTCTCTCTGATTGATCAAATATTTACTAATATTAATGCTTCTAAGTTTGATACTGGTGTTATTGTTAATCGTATCTCGGATCATTTCATGACATTCTCCGAAATACCTGTTAAGCGTTTAAGCAATCTAAACAAACTTACTAAGCATAGAAATTTTTCCCAAGTTAACATTTTAGCCTTTAAAAATGCCCTAAAGACTTCAAGTTGGGATAATGTACTTAGCTTAGACGTAGTCGACCTAGCTGACTCAGCTTTTGATGATATATTCTCTTCAATGTTTGATATTTACTTTCCCGAAGTTATATCCAAATTTAACCGTAAGATTCATAAGTTACAAGGTTTCATGACTCAGGGCTTACTTGTTTCTCGATCTAAGAAACTTTATCTTGGTAAAATTGCTTTAGTCAATCCTGAGCCAGTTAATAAGGTTAATTAACAAAATTATCGTAAGCTTTAAAATAAACTCATTCGCCTTAGCTCTTGAATTGCATTTCTTAGCTCTAAAATTTCAACAATGTATTATTTTGTATGTTTGTTCTTTATGTCCTGTAAATATTACACCATGTGAAGAAAAAATTTCCCGACTTAAGATGTGCAAACCTGATAATCATATTTCATTAAGAAGTTATTTTGGTTAGGCTAACATTTCATACTTGCACTGATATTAGGCTTGAAAGATCGGTGTAACCATATTCAGCAATTTGTTTAAATATAACTGTTTAACGCACTTTACCTTTTCAGCAAAACCAAAACCATTAAAATTTCAAGTCCTTGTAAAATTCCCATTTACATAGGTTAAGAAACATCAAAGCAAACTATGAACGTAATACATTTTATTATTAACTAACTCATTCTACCTTTTTTCCTCCCAAGTGAATTACAAAATATACTTTATAACCTGTATCTTAACTATCGCTGTATTCATTATCTTAATACACAGATACTTACGTCACCAATCAGACCCACCAATTATGACGTCCCTTCACTACTAAGAAAAGTTTCGACAGCTTTGTTTGGTTCAGTTTATCAAGTAATTAGAAAAAAAGTCTTACACATAAAAACAATCTAACCTTCATAGAGAACACCTTGCATTCAATTCTAAATTTCAGTATATGTTTCAACACCCATGTACACGTCAATTGAATTTACTAACATTATTACATAGTTTAAGTTAAAAAATCAACCTATGCACCAAAAAAAGAATATCAGAATAATTCTTTAATATTACTTCACTGCTAAATATTATATTTTATTATCATTATCTAATATATCACAAGTCTAAACTATCACATTTTCACAGAAATATCATTTACATGAAATACATAATAGAAATAATTATTTTCATCAGTAAAAATGATGGTTAATGCAATAAAATTTTCATGATTTCTGTTATTCACAAAAATTATTTTGATCCATTCTCGACTCTGGTAGTGGTAACAGTATACTCATCTAAAAATATTAAGATTTAAATTATTAACTTAATTAATTCTAAACCATAGATTTATTTAAAAATCTTCCCAAATAGCAAACCTGGCAAAATGTGATGTAAGAAAATCAAACCTGGCAACATGATATAAGAAACGCAAACCTGACAAAATGTGATGAAGAGCAAACCTGGCAAAATATGATATAAGAAAAGCAAACCTGGCAAAATATGATACCAAGAAAAGCAAACCTGGCAACATGATTTAAGAAACGCAAACCTGACAAATGTGATGAAAAGCAAACCTGGCAAAATATAATACAAGAAAAGCAAACCTGGCATAATTTGATATAAAAAAGCAAACCTGGCAAAATTTGATACCAAGAAAAGCAAACCTGGCAAAATATTATATAAGAAAAGCAAACCTGGCAAAATATAATATAAGAAAAGCAAACCTGGCAAAATATGATACCAAGAAAAGCAAACCTGGCAACATGATTTAAGAAACGCAAACCTGACAAATGTGATGAAAAGCAAACCTGGCAAAATATAATACAAGAAAAGCAAACCTGGCATAATTTGATATAAAAAAGCAAACCTGGCAAAATTTGATACCAAGAAAAGCAAACCTGGCAAAATATTATATAAGAAAAGCAAACCTGGCAAAATATAATACAAGAAAAGCAAACCTGGCAAAATATGATACCAAGAAAAGCAAACCTGGCAAAATATTATATAAGAAAAGCAAACCTGGCAAAATATAATACAAGAAAAGCAAACCTGGCAAAATATGATACCAAGAAAAGCAAACCTGGCAAAATATTATATAAGAAAAGCAAACCTGGCAAAATATAATACAAGAAAAGCAAACCTGGCAAAATATGATACCAAGAAAAGCAAACCTGGCAAAATATTATATAACAAAAGCAAACCTGGCAAAATATAATACAAGAAAAGCAAACCTGGCAAAATTTGATATAAGAAAAGCAAACCTGGCAAAATATGGTTTAAGAAAAGCAAACATGGCAAAATATGATCTAAGAAAAGCAAACCTTGCAAACAAATAAAAACAAAAATCAAAGTGAAGGTAAATCACTGAACATGAGTGAAAAACAAGATCCACCCTCTAGAGAATGTTTACAAGTAACGACCTGATAAAATTCATTTCATGATCTGGTCGTATATATTCATTCTCCAGGTCCTGCTGTCTTCCAGGTAGTTTAGGGAGTTCTTCAGGAGTATCTTCAGATCCCATCTCCTTCTTCATGTTAGCTTTTATATCCTCGCCTTTCAACCACAACTGGAAAAATATTTTAAAATTATTATTTACTACTACCGGGAACCAAATTTAATGAATTTGAACTGCCTACCACCGGTTCAAATTTTGAATTATTGTTTCAAATCCTTTCTTAATCTTCAACTTTAAGTCGGTGGTTCAAATTCGCACCAGCAAAAGGTGATTCAGCGACGTAGCTCAAATTCATCACATTCGGTCCCTGGTCAAGAATTTGTATACTTCTTACTTGTCAAATGATATTTATTAGGTCTATAATGAGCCTAAACAAAGAGCCATCACGAGAAAGTATATAACTTTAATTTGATCTCAAAATGTCATATTCAACCCTTGACAAGGCATAACGAAATATAGAGATGCATTAAAAGTTTAAGAGACAAAAAATGTCAGCAGATAAAATTGATTAAAATCTTTATTTTTCCTTCCAAAAGAAATTTGGTTGACTAGTAACACGTCTAGCTCTTAATTGCTGCTTGTAAAACCGCCATTATATCATCATTCTCCCTTATTTGATAGTTAAATTGTTGTAATTTCAAAAAAAATATTTCTAGCTTTAATTGTTCAAATTGGTGCTGAATTACCTCCCTACCCTTTGTAAGAAGAAACCGTTGGGGTATTTCCCCGCAGCCCCCCCCCCCGGCTTTGTAAAGAACCTTTTTTAAGCTTACATGATACAAATCGTCTTTAAACTTCTCCAGTCCTTCCAGATACTTATTCTGAATAGAATCCTAAAAAAAATCGCATTAAATATTGAATAATTTGAGTAAAAAATTAAAGAATGGGTTCACTGACTATCAATTAATAATTAAAGAATTGAGACAAAAAATAAGAAATAGATAATAAAAAATGATTACTTTAATCTCGAAAATCTTCCTTTCTGCTGCTTTGCCGTATTTCGTTTGAATTCGTGCGCTCTCCAGGGTTTTCTGGTATAAGGCGCGCTTCTCCGCAAGTCTGAGGTAGATGGCGTGCTGGAACGCGCTCTGGAAGTTCTCCCAGGGCAGCTGGGATCCACCCTTATACCTACTCTCTGTCTTTACAGTCTCCTAGGGCAGCAACAAAGTTTAAAACAAGAAGTGATGTTGCATTCCATTAATTCATATTTCTTGTCTATATTTTTCTTAGCGTTTAAATTTGGCATAGTGTAAAACCGCAATGTTTTATCTAAACATGTGCTTTATTTGAATTAAGCCAAATTTGACCCTGACAGAAAATGTAGGCATAAACTAACAAAAAAAGGATCGATAAAGGAACGTTATATCTATCGTTTTAGGATAGTATTTATTACTTTTTTAGGATAGAAATATTGCATAGTTTAATATAAGCGAACACTTAATTTCCATTTTGAACTCTTGAAAGTTTTATTAAAAGTTTTGAAAAAACTATCTAAACAATAAAAAATACTAGTCTAAAATTTAAATATTGTGTTGTCACAATCTAATAACCTACTCATAAAGCAAAATGTAGAGTACACATTGTGTCGCGTTATTTTACGCATAAAAATACTAATGTAAATTTGATTTCATCAGGTTTCACATGTTGTACATAATGTGCCCCGGACGTCATATCTTTGTTTCATGTTTGAGAAAGTGCTAATCTAAGACGCCTGAAATTGATAGAGCTAATCTAAGACGCCTGAAATTGATAGGGCTAATCTAAGACGCCTGAAATTGATAGAGCTAATCTAAGATGCCTGAAATTGATTGTGCTAATCTAAGATGCCTGAAATTGATTGTGCTAATCTAAGACGCCTGATATTGACGATGTTCATCTAAAACGTCTGAAATTGATATCAATATCAAATATCAAAATCAAAATCTTAAAACCTGTATTTTAATTTATCTCTACATTAATCCCTCTGATCTCACCCTGCCACAGATCACCTGACAATCTCCTTCCTTCCAAAGTTCCAATCAACTCCTTCATATCCAAAACATAACTTGATATGTGAAACCAATTGTATTCAGTATCATTAACTAACGTCGGGCCAACCACTTAAACAACCTACCCTGGTTAGGCGGGTCCCAACTGCATAGTAAATTGTGATTATTTATAATATCTCATGCTTTGTAGTTGAATAAAATTATGAAATGAAACATGAACTTTTCATTTGCAGCAATTATGTGCTTCATCCGTGAACTCCATCACAAAATGTGATTTAAAGCCCTTTCGGACTGAATTAACAAAACATAAGTTCTGACCCCAATAATATATAATTTGGACTGACCGACTCATGATCCTGACCCTCGACTGGATTGGCGTAGCTGGGGGTCAACTCATCATCCAGGACAACTGATTTTAACTCCTAGAATAAATATATTTTCGCGTTAAAAGTTATCTAGACAACATCAATGTCATAGTTGAAGATATGGGGGGAGGATATGCATCTTCATTCTCCAGGTCCATAATTACCAAAAAAGGGAAAATATGAAAATTTTTTTGGTGCTTCGCGCATCATTAAATTAACCTAATCAAAGTAACACAGAAAAGTTTTACCAGAAAACAGATTATTTAATGCAGTAACGTACTTGCACAGGAGGGGGGGGGGGGAAGATGGGGAAGTAATAGTTCTTTGTTCAAAGTTGATTGGTGCAATTCTAGAAATTCCCCCCACCCCCAGAAATCATTAGTTACGCCCCTGATCCGTAATCTCCGATTCTCACAAAAAAATAACTGGCATATTGTCACAATCACATGTAATAATTCCCACAGCAGTATTTGCGAAAAATATCACCGAGACAATAAATGATTTTAAGTGACCCTTCATTATAAAGTGACATGGTCGATTAACAACGAATCAATCTTTAAGAAGTTAAAAGATTCTAGTCAAATATTAATATTTAGTGTACACTTGTTTTCATAGCAAAAACATGATTTATAAAGGTTTGTTTTTAAAATTATTCACGACAACCTTGACATGTTTCAATTTTAAGTGCCCGGCGTTGCGCGTGAAATAAAAAGAATTAAAGAAAAAAATCAGTTTATTAAAAAAATGTCCGCCTATTCGGTCCAGCTGTAAGTTCAAACCTAGTTTTTTTTCTCCATACTCATACATCATACTCAGCAAAGTTAAAAACACTCAATAAATGAATCCTAATCTAAAAATACCCTTGTCTCCCCCCACCTTTTATTGAAATTTAACCCTTTCGATATACCCCCCCACAAAAAAAAATATAACTAAAAAGAGCATTATATCTTCAATGACAACTTTTCAACGGATTCCGATGAATAAATGAAGATTGAGGAGTAAACATTTCAATCTATTAATTAATTAGTTCTATTGGGTTATTGAGCTCACACACACGTGACACATCAGTGTTAAAGGAACTGTTTGCGAAATTTCAAGTGAACATTCATTGATATGTGGCTAATAACAACGCTACCCTGAAAGCTTTGTTTAATTAAGTGTGAATAAGATATCCATATTTTTTTAAACTGTCAATTGCATTTTCAGTTTCTGCCCAAGTGACTTACGCATTCATAAATAATTCAGAAATAATGAGTTTAGACACTTGACCAGCAATATTATATCAGATTTAGGTTTCCAGGATACCGTGTAGTATGCAGGGTCGCCAGAAATAACGCATTTACTCCCTTTAATTAGTTTATTGACAAACCTTTCTTTTAATTGATATTTGATCTTCAAAAAGATTGTTAATAAAAACGAAAAAAAGCAAAAAATACACAATGAATCATTATGAAGAATAGAATATAACTTTTGATTTAATAACACAATCTTTCTTATTATTATAACAATAATATCTACTTATTAGACTTAACAAAAAAAATTGTTGTCACATTTCAATATTTTTTATTTAAACATCCAGAGCAAACAAAAACTTAGAAAATTTTGTGCATAACATCGCTAAGAGCGTTAATATTTGAAAAATTATTGTTAAATCGCGAACCTTGGCTTTCGCATGAATAAGAGATTTTCCAGCCTCCCAAGCTTTCGCCTCCGCCAGCATCCGCCGTTCATGCTTATCCTTATACTCCGCCAAAGCCTGAAAATCGGAAATCGCCATTTTAATTATATCCGCCGTTCATGCTTTTCGTTTACTCCGCTATAGCCGTATAATCGCATAATCGTGATTTATTTGTATCCGCCGTACATGTTTATTTTTGTACTCCGCCAAAGCCCGTAAACCGGATAATCTCCATTTCTCTATACGGGGTTAACCACAAACAATGAGACTTCAAGAGACGCGTGTAAAAAGTTGATTTGAAATACATCTAATTAACAATTATGAAAATATGTACAGGCAGCTTAAAGCGGTCGCATCAAGATAGAGCAGCACTTAAATTTGCGCGCCAAATTTCCAATATCCCCCTACCCTCCCTCGATGGAGAATACCGTAAGCCGCCCCTGGAAAGATGAATATTTAAAGCAGCATGCTTTTAGAAAATATCGCATAAAATGCATTATGGGATGACCATTAAGAAAGTAACCTTTCCTAAATTTTCTAGAAAACCTCCCAAAAATGTACATTTTTTAACGAACGAGTTTTGAGCCTACATTGAAGTTCACAGGCTCATTGAACTTGCATTTATAAACTTTTTCTTTAAGTTTTTAAGATTTTTGCGAGAAAGTTTGCAGCCATTGGATTTCTGGTAATGACGTGAACAACAATTTATAAGAAAAATCTTTCAATATTAACGTTCTCAGAGCACTAGAAGGGCAAACAATTATAAAAATTACCAATTTATAAGGTTCATACAATTCCCATTTAGAGTAGATTGCTTCTTTTGCTTCCTGCAACAGAAGAAAGGTTAGAGAGGTCAGAAATAAATAAAAATGGAAATACAATTATTCATTTATTATTTTCCATATCATAAACTTATCCGGGGTCCGCATAAATATGAACTTTCAAATCTCAACATCACTGTGGTGTTAGTTGTTCATGAGCCGTTTTTTGCCTTTATTTTCATTCAGTGTTAAAATCTAGCAAAGTAAAAGATAAGCAAATTTAGCAAACTTCAGGGTGGCCAAAACTTTTTTGAAAAAATTTGTACAAAAATCCGTACATTTTCAGAAAAAACCGTACAATCCGTACAATTTTTTAAAATCCGTACAATCCGTACATTTGTTTAAAGCAATCCGTACATTTTTTAAAGATCCGTACATTTTTTTAAAGAATCTGTACAATCAGTACAATTTTCGAAAAAAATCCCATTTT